GAAATAACTTCTGTCCTGTGACAGTACTGCTGAAACTGGTGGTACCAGGCACTTTAACCGGCGAAAAATGGGTTTGATAAGCGAGACGGCTGTCCTCAGAGAGCATTTCTCGCTCGCACGGCAAAATCCTCCCCAATCGCTTTGCTTCCTTCCTTACCTCCGCCCCGGACTCTTTTCGGTCGAGAAGAGCGTGTCCGAACACAGTTCACTAAGGATGATCAAAGCCAGAACTTTAGCAGAAATTTGTGTATTATCCTGCCTTATTTGATTATCGAACCAAAAGTATGTCGAGCTTTAATCCTGTCAGCGCCTTCAGCGACAGTCGTCTTGAATCGTGCGGCGGTTGTACGTGCGATCCACCCGGTCTTGTACACGCGCAGATAGCGGATCTGGTCAGTTGTGGACACGCTTCGAGTTACCGCAGTGGTCTCGCGAGCCTCTGGAGCATGGTAGTCCGGCCACATGGAGAAGGCAAGGCTCTTGGCATCGACAGCTGATTGAGATACCGCATAATCGTAGTCGTAAGGGTCGCTCATTCCTAAGGGTCACCGAAAATTGACCAATTAGATTGCATTGTTAAAAACAGATGAAACTGCTAATTTTAGAGGAAGCAGGATGTAAATTGTGGGTAGAAGTCTATCATCGTTCTCATGCCTCGACCTCGCATTAACGGGGGTGGTAGAAGCTCCCGGACTTACAGCAGGATAGCGGTGGACTATGCGCACAAGAAAGAGGTGCTGGACTTCCTTACACAGGGTCACAACCTTGACGAAACAATTGACCACTTCTACGGTGAGCTTGTTCACAAGCCACGCAGGGCGAAAAAAGCAGATCAACAAGTGGAGTAAGCAAACCGCCACCGTTCATTCAGCATGTTCTTCTGGTCGAGGAATTCACCGGAATCTACGTCGTCTTGGAGATGCGACAGTTCTTACTAGAAAGGTTGAAGAAGGGATCGTACGATGGATCAACGCCCTGCGTCGTAACGGTGCTCATGTCTCGCGGTTAATGCTACATATGCATGCAAAGGACTTGGCTGCTGACCACGGAATCGATACGACCAAATTTAGCGCTACGGATACTTGGATTAAACTATTTCTACGTCGGCATAAGCTAGCACTACGAACACGAACACGACAAGACCAAACTACTCCAGCTGATGCCAAGGAAGCTGTTGAGGCTTTTACAGAGGATGTGCTGAGGACAATGGTGGAAAAAAGCTGTGTAAAACTCTACATCGCAGATCAAACAGGTAGCTCGCACTTAAGTTTTTTATTATTATTTCTATTGCTAATTGTTACTCTAAAGCCATTTTCTTTGAGTACATGCCTCGGCAAACTATAACGCCCCGTGGCAGCAAAACAGTGTGGATTAAGTGCGGGAATAAAGAAAAGGTGAGGGCAACAGCAATGCTCCTTGGGGATTCTGACGGCTGCAAGTACCAGCCATTTATCATCTTCAAGAGTAATCCAGCTAAACGTGCTGATACACAGCTACAAAACAATAGTGAGCGAAATGGATTTGGCGTCACGGTGTGGGAGGAAGTGTTCCCCTTACAAGATATCCATCGGTGCAAAATTTATGGAAATCGAACGGCCTGGTGGAATTCCAAGTTGTCTCTCGAGATTTTAAGATACCATTTTGCAAGTCGCGAAAATGTACACGAAAACGTCCTGCTTCTGTGGGACGACTTGAAGCTGGTCGAGTAGCTTTGGAAGAAGCGAAGGATGTCAATCAGCGTCTAGTGGCTGAGTTAAACGCTCACCGCGCTACACGTATGTGTGTCAGCCGGCGGATATTGCTTGGAGCCAACCCCTTAAAAGTTGACTACGTGTGCGCTGGATGAAGCTTTTGGAAATTCAACTAAGATCGTTTAAAGCTCGGGAAGCAATTACACGGCAAAAACGCAACGATCTGGTAGAAAAAGTTAGGAAAACACACCTGACTCATTAGCAAGGGGAAGCCCGTGCTGCTATAGAGGAAATGCAATCTCAGTTCGACGACAAACCCTTTAAACTCAATGCACCGGGGCGAACCCTAATAACGGAGTGGATAACAGAGTCCTGGTACGAGCTTACGGCCACCACCATCTCTAGCGGTTTTCGAAAGGTGGGGTTATTGATGGATACACGTGTCGTCGAAGACGACGATACACATTCCTGCGACACAGAATCTACTATAAAGAAGCTGCTTGGACTAAAACTTGTGGAGGCAACTATAGATTCGGACGACGCCATTGAGGCGAGTGACAATAGCTGTGATACCGAGTAGATGTTGTTCTGCTATTGGATACAACGTTTTTAACTTTTTAGGCTTATTTTATAAAATTACCTCACATCCTAAATAAAACAAGGCATTGACCATATGGCATAACCATCCTCCCAAATTTGTAGTGACCCTTACGACTACGATTATGCGGTAAGATACGATAAGTAGACGGGAATTGCAGGGTTGCTCATGATCGCGCTTGTAGGTGCTCCGCTACTCACGAGGGCATTTCTTATCTGAGTCACAGCGCTTACGAGCGCCATTGTCCATCCCCGGGGATCGATAATTGATCGCCCAGACGCTTCACAGAAACCCGACCATCGTCGTCCTGCATATGAGCCAGTGCGGCGCCCAAGAACTTGTTCACGTACAGGAGAGTAAGCCGCACACGCACCGCCGTTGTTTCCGGGTTGGGTGACTTGTTCTTCGATACGAAGACTCGCAGTCGGCTCGTTAGCTTGTGCATGCAGTCATACCAAACATCTTGGTCAAGCGAGTTGAGTCCGTGGATGGCGTCAAGGGTGTCTTCGTACGAACCGCACTCCACACCAATGGTAGGTAATCCCGCTAAAGGGATGAAGTCGCTTGAGAAGTTCTTGTTCGCTGAGCCGTCTTCGTGACATGACATATCACTACTCTCCTTGAAATGCATGATTGAAGATGGCCATCAGCACGGCTGGTGTCGTCCGAAACGTGACGCACTCCAGCTCCCGTACACGCAGCACAAACGACATTGCAGATGCATCCTTACCTGTGTCCGGACCGTCTCTGCACATCCGGCTTGCGGCCAGCAGATGAGCTTGCGGCGGATTGTAGTCACCCTTCGTTATATTGGAACCTTATGGGAAGCTTGCACTTGACAGGAAGCGTACGCCTAGCCGAGGAATCTCTCCCTTCGAGTTGGGTACCGTCACCATGCATTGAGGAATTCCGTCCCATCGGCTGCAATCTTGGCGGTGCAGTACGCGCAGTCGAGCTACCTCCTTGCGCAGAGCGCGAAGCTCAGCCATCACACTCGCCTCAGGAGCCGTGGGGGATGCAGTCGGTACTGCGTCAGGTTGATCTCTAGCGAGAGCCGTAGACGTAGATACGTTGTCCGTCGCCGTGCCTCGACCGGGATCGAAGGACGCCATGAGCGAGCTGAGATCGAAGCCTTCGCGTGTCCTCCTAAGCTCGTAGGTGCAGCAAGCTCTGCGGTGGACGCGGATTCGGCAGGTAGTGCGGCCTTCCTCGTCCTCTTCAGCTTTGGTGGGACCGCCTTGTTTTCTAGGTCGTGGTCTGACGCGTCGTCCACACCTTCGTCGACCTTCTTGCGTCCGCTGCTAGTCGAGTTCATCGAAGCGACGCGCTTAATCGCCTTCTTCTTGACCTTCCGAGATTCAGTTGGCGGTTGCTCCACGTAGCGCAGCGCGCTGCTTACTCGTCCGCAGAGGAGGGGGCTCCGCCGTACTGTGTGCTGAGGTGGTGGCCCATGGCCTTTCGCCGCCGGTGACGTCCACGACGTCAGCTCTGCTGGCCGGAGCTACGCTGTCCGAGGGGGCAGTACCTGCCCTGGGCGGGGGGCGCTGATTGCTTTGGAGGCTTCTTGAGCTGTCATTACAATCTTGAGTAGTAAAATCTTGATTTCTTGTCTGCTTGCAGCTTGTTCTTCCAAATGTGAAGTGAGGGAAGCCACGTGTGGTTACCGAATTACCTTAGTTATGCATTACACCCAATCTGCAGTGCAGAGACCAGAAATTGCGTGTCGGTATCTTCGAACAAACAGTCTATTTAAATTTAAGCAAGTTCACGAAAATGATCATGTACTTCTTTAGCAAATGTTTTTGCAATCTGGTCGAGCTCGGGAGGGCACATTTGACCCTGGCGGGTCTTAGCTCGAAGGGCTAAGCGATGGCGGCCTTTAAACAGGCTCTGCCAACTCCAGGATGCCGTGAACGCGTGGATACCGGCTTCGTTAGCTTCTGTGAGTGCCTGCAGCCTTAGCATCATTGGTGTGACTGGCACCCCTTCGTCCCGTAGGTCCCCGACCCAGCGAACAAGTTTCAACTCTACTGAGTAAGGTAGAGCGGTAGCTACACCACTACAACGTGCCTTCATCTTCTTGGCTTCTTTAGGGACTGTACACGCAGCGACGATCTTGTGAAGAGATCGACGCCATGAATAAATGAGGATACGGCGGCAATTAAATTTGCTAGCTGGTAAATCAGGGTAGAACTTGTGAATTGCGGACGCAATACTACCGTTCTTGTCTAGATACTCTAGTACCCTCAGCTTGTGAGAAGTAGTGTACACCGTAATGGTGTTCGTTGGTGCTTGGCGGCCCTTGCCACCAGGTAGGCGAGGCCTCCCCTTTGGGCGTTTTCGTTGCGTTGGACTCATCTGCGGCTTTGAGAAGTGAGACCAGTACTAGATAATGTAGGCAAATTACTGGTTGTCAAGTCGTGTAATTGATAACTAAGGATGCACGGCTTCTTTTCTCACTCAGCGTTTGGCGGCTTCTGATTGGCCACATTGAAGTGTAATTGATAACAAAGAGTAATTCATAACTAAGGTTATTCGGTAGCAGCAAAACAGGATGAGTATGAAGTCGGTTGATAATTTGATGTAGAAAACACAATTCCATTGCTTCGCTACAGTATGGAATAAGTACTACAGTACACCTATTCGAAAAAAATTAAACCTTAGATGTAGAGCTTTGTAGTTGAGCAGAAATCATCGAAAACAATTCTTTATCCGGCGCTAGTAGCATTATTGGTGCGATTGATGAGCCTCAGTGCGTGATGTCCTCACACTATGCTCTTCTACAACGATCGTTTTATTCCGAGCCCAGCGGTCTTCCCGATCCCCAAGCATAGCCACCTGTGCCAGGAACTCCACCGCGACCAGCAGCCCCGCGGGCGCCGATGATTGGGACTCCACCAGCCGCGACTTGCGGGGATGGGAACAAGTTTGTACTGCAGGAAAAGATGGCCGGTAAGTTCGTTAGATTGAAGCTGCAAAGCGAAAAGAAAGCTATGACACGTACAACACTGCCGGCGTTTGCAGCAAATTCCATCCCTTGGTCGCAGGCAGCACCTCCAGCAGAAAGTAGTACAAGTGACCGGCAATGACGCCGAAGACGTCCATGATCGGGTTGCCGCCGACGAGCACCGTGAAGGCGATTAGCGCCCACGGCAGATACAGGCCGTCGAAGCGGAAGCCTGCAGGCAGCAAGTTTAAGCATAAACATGTCAGAGTGGGCAGCCTTAACCAGTTTGTCACTGTCGACTCGCAACAAGCAACCAAATAAGGCGGCTCGCCAGCACATCTGGCCCATTCGTTGTCGGCTTACCCCAAATAGCAACGGGCGCTGTCGGGTTTCGACGGCTCCACACGTAGACGATCATGAAGATAAGCGACGTGCCCAGGAACGGGAGGCTCATGAAAAACGCGATAATCTGCACCACAACCACAGCGACGTGTTAACACCGTGCGTCGAGTGCGTAACAACGGCCAATCAGGGGGCCAGCCACCAAGTGCTCACTCACCCATAGTAAAACGGCTCCGAAGAACAGCATGAAAGCGTAGTCAGCCGTGGGGCCACCTCCTCCCGGGAACGGGTCCTCCTCCAGTCGGGATGAGTAGTTAGTTCTGTATCAACAAATACGTCAGAAGTCAGCGAAGTAGTCTATAGAGCAGTAGCACGAGTAACACTCTCTCTTAATACCGTACAGGATCATTAGCTGCATGAGAAAGGGAAAGCTGAAGCTCCCAAGGAACATGAAACACGTGGTGAGCCGCCAAAGCTGGAAACGCTGCCACACCAAATCGAAGTCCAGGTACAGCGACTGCGGGTTGAGGAAGCCTAGCGTACTCAACAGCGTCGATCCGAAGCACACAGAGAGGTAGAAACGCGTGACGTACGGCAGCCCGTAGTACCAGGCCTCGATCCTCCCTGCCATGGCGACTGCTTGCTGTCAAAGATTATCTAGAGTCGCCATGTGGCAGTCTCACGTATTGCACCTGCATAACCGCATTGAATACCTTCCATAGTTCTTACTTCGCGTAATCCACATAATTTAAGATGAAGTAGCCACATTACGCGACTTTACTTAAGAGCGGCAAGAGGGGAGCGCGGACAGTGAGAGAGCGACGATGCTGCAGCACGCGGTGGCGCTATTGCTGCAGCGCCTACTGGGCAGATTCGTGACCTTCGACTCCATTATGCTCAAGCTGAGTTTGTGGCAGGGCGACCTGTCGTTTCAAGACCTCCAGCTGCGATTATCTTACGGTGATGGCGAGATCGGTCACCTGAGCGTCAAGATCCCGTGGCGTGCGCTGTGGACGCAGCCGGTGCAAATTAAGGCGCAAGGCATCCGCATCTCGCTGCACCAAACACCCGAGCCTCAGCATGAGGTGGAGACGACGGAGCTCGAGAACGTGGATACGAGCATCGACGGCAGCAATGGAGATGGTATTGGTGGTGGACTCTCTTTTGTTATATATTCCTGAGTGGAGAGATTGACTGGTACTTGCTTGCAGATCGGACGTATCTGTCGAGATTGGTGTCACACATCATTGCCAACGTGCAGATCGAGTTGTCGGACGTGCAAGTGCGATACGACTGCGACCCAAGCTCGCTGGCGCCGGTAATAAGCTGGTACAATGCAGTGAGAGAGGTAGGCAATGAGTGCTGACTTTTTTTTATTTAATGCTGCTAGCAACCGGGGAGTGGCACGCTAGAGATCGGACATGTGAGCTTGATCAATACAAATGCAGAGTGGGAATTGGAGTTCACACCGCAGTCGAGCTCGGCAATGGAGTCGAGGAAGGTTCGTAAAAAAATTGTTGCATGCGGAAATCAAGTATTATTGACTGCAGTTTTGCTGTAGTTGCTGAAAACAGAGGGTGTGGCGGCGTACATTGAGTACCCTGACATGCGAAGATATACAGACGACGATCTTGCCTCTCCGAAGATGCACCGAAAGTATTTATTCCACGAGTGGCGCAGCACAGTTAAGGTGCGAAAACGATTTATTTTTTCGCACGCGTCTTGCAAAGCGTCTGATTACTGCTACTGTAGGCCAGTTTGTATTATCACAGCGTCAATGCAGCGTTCCCAGATGTGGAACTGGATGTGGATATTGGCTGTGACCCTGGAAGTATGAGAGATCAATGCGAAATTTGTGCCGCACACAACGCCAGCGGCGACGAAAGATTCGTCCTGCAAAGCAAGCAGCCTCGAGTGCATTTCGGACCTGAGCATATTGACGTGTTGTACGCCATTCTGATTGAAGTGAAGGCACCTTACGACGAGTACGATCGTCTAGCCGCATTGACACAGCAGCAAGTATCGCGGCCCGATGGATTTTTGATGGTGCTGTCGTACGCTAAGCAGTGGCTGCTGACAGACTGCCTGGACGCTGTCGTAGGAGAAACTTTCACACTAGCAGCAGATGATGACGATGATGACGATGACGACGAGTTTGAGGATGCAATCACCCCACCGAGTCTGTCTGTTCGAGCTGAGCTACGACATGGTGCAGGGATCTTCTTTTCTGCGAGAGAGTCTGTCGCGACGGAAGAAGAAATTGTACGAGGAACGCAGTGGGTATGGATTATAGGAGATACCGTTGGAGTCATTAAGCAGTCGTGTGTGGAAGATGAAGTCCAGCTCTGTGTTCAGTCATTGCGCATGTACGAAGTTGCTGAACGCAGCGAGAGTTACAGAATTATTGATCATGCGAGTCGAATAAGTGGAAATGTCGACTCAGGTGAGCTGGTAACTACAGTTGTCCGGATATCCTGTGTAGTCCCGGCCTATCAGAGCCGTCTTGTTGGGCATCAACCTGCATTGGACGTCCAGTTAGGTAGCATGATGATGTTCATTAAAGATGAGACGTTGGTCATGTGGATGACTCTCTTTGCGCCAGTGTATTTGTGGTGGAACCAGTGGAATTTATCGCATCCGAGCAAGCTGGTTACGTATGATGAAGCGCAGATTGCACCGATTGCACACTTGGGAATCAAGATGGAGAAGGTTTGCTGCGTATTCGCCCTCCATGATCATTTTTGCTTCGGTGTGGAGCTGAAGGATTTGGTGATTGAGACCTCCGAGCCTGATCGAGAATTTGTGCAAAGTGACTTTCGAACCAGCTTACGTTTATTCTCAATGGACAAGAGCTTGGCCTTGTTGCAAACTCAGATGGCATTAAGTGATGTACAAGGTCTGCATGAAATATTGGCTGTCAGCGACTTCTCGCTAACAAAAAAGAGTCACTCTAGAACGCAATGGTCGATGGATTCTTATTCCTGCAGGCACTGTACTTTGGGGAGGCATGGGGTGATTTCTTACGAGCAGCACGAGGCTGATCTTGAGCAAGAAACCGCTATGTATAACTATGAAGCGCGGCTTTCAACAATTAAAGTTGACTGGAAAGTGACAGAACTGGAGGCCCTGTGCTGGGTAATTGGCAAGTGGAGCTTCTTTTTTCCTGAGAAGCCTGTCAACGGACCTGATCGTGATTTGCATCCAGCAAAAAAAAGCTCGAGCGTGAATCTGGTCTGTCAACGAAAGCTTTCCGTAAGAACCCCAGAAGTACGACTATGCGTTTCCGATGATCGACCAAATCAATCTTCAATGTTTGTGCTGTCCATCAAGGACGTGGATTGGTCGTCGCGTGTTTGCACTACCACTGTTACCGAGAGCGTTAGTATTTCGTCAATATCTCTTGAAGAAGGTGAAAACGTCATTATTCAAGCTGCTGGAAGTCCAGGGCTACGTGCCCCTGCTCTCAGTGTCACGTACCTGATAAGTCGGACCTATTCTACATGTAGTGAACCCGACATTCCTACAGCGTCATCGATTTTGCGGTTCAATCGCCAGGCTACTCGCGCCGTTATCTCAGTTGAACGACTTCATGGATATTTATTTCTTCCAGATGTTCGAACAATTCTGACGTGGATTGGAGGATGCCATGATAGATACTTGCTGGGTTTTATCCTGTCGACTAGCCTCGGTTATGAACCAGACGATTTCCGGCGAAATTTATCGAAGCTAGGGACGCAAACATCGTCGACGCTACTGGAGGACTCGTCGTGTTTTAATGACGAGGTTGTAATGAGTCTGTCGGTACTGCATGGTTTGCAGATGGACATTAAACACCGAGATCAAACACCAGGTGCTCTTGTAGAAGGCGCGGAGTCTATTAAAGCAATAGCTCGCGTGGAAATGTCGAGTATGTCGCTGCAAGCTACTGGATCAGGTGCTGCTGTGTGTGGTGGGGGATTTGAAGTCAAGGGCAGCGTGCGAAACTTGCAGCTGACTGATTTGACTTCTCCAAGTGGATCGTGTGCAGCTGATGTGGTGTTGCCGAATCGACAAGCCATTGGATCGCCTTCAGAAATGCTGGACGGAGTTGCTGACGTGGGCGCAGTTGGTGTGAAAAATGTCGTCGATTTTGTGATCAATTCTTCTAAAGATGGTGGCATTTTGGCTCGTGTGCGGCTGGACTCGGTTTGTATTGTGTATCTGCACCGAGTGTTCAAGCAGTTCTATCACTACGTGTTTGATCACGTTGCAGATGCTGTTGTCAATTCGTTGGACGAATTTCCGAAACGTGAAAAGGCTGAATTTGTGTACAAAAGTTTTATGGTAAACACTGCGGCGCTCCCTGTATCGGTCGAAGATCTCCTCTGCATGTATTTCAATGCAGTGGTGACCGAAGTGAACGAACGCGCTGGTGCCATGGGAATAGCGAAAGGAGAGATGGGAAACGTGCGATTTGAAGTTGTTGGGAATGACTTGGCGTTTGCGTTGCCGCGCAGCTCATTTTCTCGCGATAGTATTATTCTGAGATCGACGAATGCCCGTTTCTGGAGCAGTGGAATTGATCCTTCGACCTCTGATTTCTTGCAGAACGGTACCTTTGTCGACGAGTCGCGGCTCTCGTATGGCTCAGCTCTAGCTGGTGCATCTGCAGCAAAGGCGCAGCTGTCACGGCGAACAGAGTTGCGAAACCTGCGACGACAGATCAAAAACCAGCGTTCGCGTATCTTAAGCAACCGCAGCCAGCTATTTATTGATCTTCGGAGTGCCACCCAGCAAGCACAAAACTATCTCCACGAAGGTTTTCAGGCTCTACCGGCAGCAGAAGATGCGGTGAAAATCATCCATAGTAAGATTCTTCATTTGGATCAACAATTGGAGCAGCTAACGCAACATCTTCTTAAGGTGGATGAAGCGCTTGATGAAGCCAAAGCTGAAGGAGAAGCTCTGAATAGCGGTGGACGCGATAGTCTGCAGTTCTTGTCTAGTACCCCGACCAGTGGTACGCGAAGGCGGTCAGACTCCATGGAGCAAATTCGTCACGAGGTTGCGAGTATGTCGCAGCATCTCATGACGCCCTTGTTTGTGTCGGAGGATGCTGAATTTCATGATGCGCGAGTCACATCGAGTACAAGCATGGTGCCACGGGGCAATGGTGATGCAGATATGTCAACTTATTCGGTGGGACTGTTCGAGTTTGAACTGGTTGATTTAAGTAGCACCACTCGTGATTCCGCCTCTGCCCTTTTCCATCACTCGCTACTAACTGGGCGCATTGATTCGGAACCGGAGAGTATGTCTGAAGCGGCTTTGAGCTCGTTCTATGGGGTCAGTCTATCAATGAACGAGCTCAGCATCGGAACCGGACAGGAGCAGTACACAACTCTCCTGGGTATGATCTATGAAAACTTTCGGGAGGTATCACGTGTCGTCACAGAAGAGACGTATCCGTTGTGCGCCACGTGTGGAGGGCTCCACTACGACACCGAATTCTGCAGAGCAATATGGATGAGGATCCCAGTGAAGATTGCTGATGCTGCGCTTCGCATCTCGAATAACGACCATCCCGTTGCCGATATTTTCTGGGAACAACTCGAGTTGGTGTTTACGTTGCGAACGGATGATTCGGTGGAGTTCAATGGGTCGGCGTTGTCCTTTACGACGGCTGATATTCGACCTACTCGTTGTCAAACGGCCTCTGAAATTGTTCGCCCGCTCCCTGGAGACGGCCTTCAAATTGAGTACAATCAAAAGATGAATTGGACCGACTCTGTGTACGATTTGAAGGTGCGCAACACCAACTTTCTCGGGGTGTATCCTGCTTTCCACGACATCATAGCGTTTTTTGCGGAGCCAGTGTTAGCAGAGGGCGAGTTCCTGAATTTCGGCGCTGGCTATATGTCGCCCCCTCCTCCAGACTGGCAGAAAATTGACTTCTTCGTGACTACATCCGGGTGTCTCTTCTCGTTATTGGAAGACTTCGAAACGACCGATGCTCGAGCGCTGGTCATGCTGACGGATGTGGTGGCTGCTTATTCAACTCACCGGAAGTGTAAGGGTGCTACGGATATGACAAAGTGCCATTTGGAGTTTGATCAGCATGGCGTTTATTTCTCGCAGCTTCCAGATCTTCAGGTGGGCGTTTCTGTTGCTGTTAGGTGTGAGCTGAATACTGATACTGACACTTTTTATATGCTCTCGTAGATTGACGCATCGTTTCCTCTGTCAAACTCGTTTCTGCTGGTCTTTGATCATTTTGTGGAAGGTTCTATCACGCTGTCGCGACGCAACTCGTTCGTGTTGGCTCCTGTCGAGACTCGATTCTCCGTTCAAGACGCCAATTTATTTATTAACATCGCAAACAACTATCTGCGGTGGATTCCGTCGTCGTCTCGCGCGACTTCCGTCAAGGTTGCTGTGGGTGAAATGAGAAATGGATCAAACAAGAGATCTCAGTCCGCAACGCCGACCTACATTGCCGACAAGCTTCTGGGTGATGTGGGTGAGCTGCGTCTGGTGCTTGTGAACAACAGCTTAGGCATTCCAATCGCTGATTTCCACATGCGGGAGATTGTGTGCGAGTACATCAAGGATGAAGACTACTCGACGACTATGGGCGCCACGCTGCTGTTCAACTACTTCAACAACAGCATCTACCGATGGGAACCTCTGGTGGAGCCTTTTGTCGTCCAGATGCGTATTCATCGAGCTTTGGAAGAAAATAGTCTTGTCGAGGTATTTGCGAATCTCCCCAACACAGTCAACTTCAACATGACACCTGCTATGGCTCCTTTGCTGTCATCAGAGGCTCTGAGGCAAGCCGATTTTGTCACGTCTGGATCAAAGTCAACTGCTCCATTCTGGATTGAGAACAAGACAGGGCTAGAACTCAAGTTCAGCTTCCGTCGCGGCACGGGGACTGTCATTCAGCAAATTGTTCCAGACAGCGGAAAGGTGTCAGTTGATTGTCGAGAGCAAGGAGACATGCTGACTTTTGACAGCGCCTCAGCAGATCGGTTCTTGCGGGAAACTGACCGCCAAGCGTTGACGGTCAACCATACGCTCTCTGTTTGGTTGAATGGCAACAAGTGGGTGAGTACAAACCCCGTGGTCGTGGATATGGTTGGCCATGTAGCTGTTCCTCTCCGTGAATCGCTGGTGCCGGTGGCTGATGCAGACGCGAACGACTTTGAAAATGGTGGTGAAGAGGACATTAGTCCGCCGACTTTGGTGGCGGAGATCAGCATCCAAGCTGATGGCAGCAAGCTGATTAGCCTTCATTCTCAAGTGGTACTGCAAAATCGAACATCTGTCCCCTTGATGGTGTGGGCGTTTTCTCCGTGCGAAGGGGGTTGCATTCAAGAGTGGATTATTGACCGTGAGCAGGTCTGTCACATTCCACTCCAACTTGTCCATCCTCAGAGCAAGATCAGTATTCGACCTTCGCCTTATGTGCAATATGCTCCGCTGACAACCAGCTTGGAAGAACTGGGCGACGAGGTGCGGGCGGCGAAATCTGTCAACTCGAAGCGTTTTGTGCGAGCTGGTAATTGCACGTGCAACTTCGAGACGTTCGATACGATGGAGGAATTGCAAAGTGCTGCAAAGTCGCTGGAAATGGTGTCTTCTTCGTCAATGTCGTCGGCCATCCCGCTATCTGGCTACGTTGTTCGAGACTTACCTACTTGGAAATGCACGTATGAGGTGGAAGCTTATTACCTGATGCGTGCCACGTTTTCAAGTACTGAGGAGCCTTTGCCTGTCGAGGAATCTGTGGTTGATCTAGAAAAGGTGGAGGAGGAAGAGGGTGAACAAGTAGAGGACGACTTTCTTCACGTGTTTGGAGAGCCAGCGCGACGTCAGCGCAAAATGAACCCACTGCGAGACATGAACTACGAATTGGACGAGGCAAGAGCGGCTGGACAGCGACGAGGGTTGTACGAAGCGACGAATTCTAGTCTGTACTACCTATCCGTGTCGCCATTCCTGACGCTTCACAATCGTTTGGCGACAGCGATGGCGTATCGTTTGCTCAATGGTTCTCTTCAGCTGATTGCCGAAGGTATACTGGCAGTGGGAAACGTGCTGCCTCTTTTCCAAGTCGATACTTCAGAGCTATTGTACATTTCTTTTCGGTTGGAGAACTACAGCTGGAGTGCCCCGAAACTGATTATCAACCCGAAGATGTCTGTGTACTCGGTGCCCTACAAAGAGACGATTGAACCAGTGCAGTTGCTTGGTCGCGCATTTGACCGTGATATTACTGGAGAGCAAGGCAGTGTGCCCAACTTGCAACTGCAAGTGAAGCTATCAGGGCGAGATGTTATTGTGTTCTGTTCGATCTGGGTCGTCAACCATTCTGACCTCGAGCTTGAGTATTGCAACTCAACAAGTTCATCATCGAAGCGATTAGAAGGTGTACTCAAGTATGTCCATCGACGTGCAGGCTCGTCAGAAGAGTACCGCGCGGACTTCTCGGCACGCTCGATGTCTTTCCATGGAGAAGGGAGCAGAGAGACCCAGCTGACGCGCCTGCACAAGGTGAAGCCCTCTACCAACCCAGTTGCTGTTATTGTTGTTATCCGGGAAGCAAGGGATCTGTACAATGCGCAGTTTTTCGGATCCCAGAGCCCATATGTACGAGCATCCTTGTACGTGCTCAAGAACCCCAAAGACAGATACCTGGAGAAACCTGAGATGGTTGCGATTTGCTCTACCACAACAAAGCCAAGTCCATCTGGTGGATTATCTCCACAATGGTTGGATGCCCGTCTTCAGAATACTTTGCTGCTGCGCTTCCCACCTGAAGTGAGGACATTAGACTTGGCTCGCATTATCATTGAGGTGCGCAACGTTCGCTACGGATTGGACACTTGCCTAGGCGTCACCGCAGTGAAAGTGGACAGCATTTTGAAAGATCGCAAGCGGGCTGCAGCGTTCAATTGGTACAAGTTGCTAAAGCGGAAGTCGTCTCGTGAAAAGAAAGCATCCAAGAACAATCTTGCTAGCATACACAGAGGAGACATTAGCATCTCTTTTTCGGTTGGTACATCCCAAGAGCTACCGTCGGATATGGATGCAGAAGATACGGTAGAAGAAGTGGTCGAGGATTCCAGCTCACCGTCTATTCATGACGAGGAGATGACGGTAACTTATCTGGAGAGACTAGAGAGCGAAGACTTTGAGTTCGATGACATGGAACATTCTGCGACAATGGATGGACAGCAAACACCAGGGCTGCTTCCATCCACAAGTGCAGCTAGGTCGATGCAGCGTCTCCAAACGCCTTCAAGTCATGACACGGGGTTATTAGGCGCGCCAACTACGATGCGCGCGCGTCAAGCGTATACGTTTACAGGAGACAGCGAGTCGCAGGAGCTTCTGTCGTATGATCCAACATCGACCAGAGCGATGGGTGCGTTGATTACCAATGGATCACCGATAAAGCCAGCACATGCCGGCAGGCCTCATGGGATCCAAGTGTATCTACCGCACAACCGCTTTGCCTGTGTCGTTGTTGAAGTCTATTCAAGCTCTCTGATGTCGGAAGTCTTCGATCTCGTTTGCATGAAGTGTGGCTTTGTGGGTGTTCTGGACATTCAAGACTTTGATTTCTACGAGTTGGCGCTGCCTCGATTCGTTTCGCTTCGGAGTGCTGGACGACCTGAGGGCGAACGTTGGTATGGCCAACCTATCTCGATGTCATCAAAGATTGAGAACAGGGGTCGTCGTCATGGCCTTCATTTGTGCCATAAAATAACGATGACAACGATTCGTTTGTACGACGAAGCAAGCACTGCAAGTACCCACCATGTCACGCCGCGGTCGCTAGTGTCGAGCTCTAAGCGCTCAAACCCTGCTCAAATTCGCCCCATGCCTTGGGGAGACGTGCTGCCGTACAGTTCAGGTGGAAAGCATTGGGATGTGCTGCGGCTCAAGTCGCGCTCGTCGCCATGGTCAGACGTTATTCGTCTCAACCGAAATGCCATGGGGAACTCCGGCGTTGCTCAGGTTATCAGTCTCACTAACGAGGTTTATGACCAGGATCCAGAGAGTGAGCTGCGTAAAGGAACTCAGGAAGTAGCTCTGTGGAGCTGTTATGGTAGCGGACGTTTTTCAGAGACCATCATGGCCACGGTGGTTCCTCGCTATATCCTGATTAACAAGACGGAAGAAACCATCAAGTATCGACAGTTTGGTGCGCCTCAAACCTTCCGACTGGCTGCCAACGATCTCGTACCATTCCATTGGCCCAGTGCGTCACGAGAGAAACTCCTGGAAGTGAGTCTGCTGCACAAGTACAGCTGGAGTGGCAGCTTCCGAATCAATTCGCTCGGGACCACTTATCTGAAGTTGCGCGACCGGAATGACCTGTCTCGAATCTACATTTTGCAGTGTCAGATTGAGCTAGTGGGCGGGTCTGTTGCGCTGATATTCCGAGAGGAGTCGAAGCGTTTTCCTCCTTACAGAATCGACAACATGACGTCATATCGGATACGCTACAAGCAGACAAACTGGGGTGAAGACAAGGACTTCGACGAGCTGCTACCGCGCTCATCTTGTCCTTATTCTTGGGATTATCTAAATGGCTCCGAAGGCAAGTCCTCATCCTCGTCGAACCAAGATCCGGCCTTCCCTGGCAGCTCAACCTCTTCGTCTCGATCGCTTCAAGTACGGTTCATGCGAGTGACATCGTCTGCATCCAAGGCTGGAGGGGACTCGGACAAGGATGCGGTGGAGATTCGAGAGTACAATCTGGACGAAATGGCAACGCACAAACGTATCCAACTGCATCGCTCGCTGCCATCCGAACTCTTCTTGAAGCCGGAGCAAAAGGGATATCTTCTGAAGAAGGACAGCATGCTCAAGTGGAATCGGAAGTACTTTCGCTTGTACGAGCACATGCTGTACTACTTTGCCAACGAGACGGACCAGGAGCTTCTTGGAGTTGTCGATCTCCGCACAGGCTCTGACGTGCCCGGAGTTGGAGGAGTTGCCATTTTTGAGAAGGCTGCAGAAGCTCCATCAAAAAGCGGCTTCATTTCTTTGAATGGTCTGGTTTCTTCGATCTCGGGCAGTTTCTTCGGTGGCGGCTCGAGGCAGAAAAATGGAGGTGACGATGACGACGATGACGATGGGGATGACAGATCGAGAGAGCTCGTGCGACTTGCAGTGTCGTTAACCACGTCCAGTGTACTATGTGAAGAATCGGAGAAGTTCGTGAACGCACACGTTGAAAGTGGAGCGTTTGCAAAAAGTGGTGTTACGCGGAAGGGGTTTTACGTGAATGGACAAGACCTGGTCGATTTTTTGGTGACTGAGATGAGTACGCAGACGAAGTCGCAAGCGTTCACAACAGCGCAAGAGATGCTGGAACTTGGTGTGCTAAAGCCAATTCAGATATCGTCCGACGTGGGTGCTCACAAGCAAGCGCCCTTGAAGAGTTTCCAGTGCTCCAAACATGTGTGGTACAGCGTTGACTCGATCAACCTTGCAGAGGACTCCGACTTGGACTCGGAAGACAGTGTCAGCATAACCACACCGCGAGATAGCAATCTATCGTCGAGCAAGGCAAGTGCAAAGCCTCTTGTCGTCGGCTCGAACCAATTCTCGATTATTACGCCAACCAAGTGCTACGATCTGAAGGCCAAGAACCCGAAAATTGCTAAGATTTGGGTGAGACGACTGCGACTTGCTACTCAAGGCGGCCAAGTCGATGATTTCGAGGAAATGCCAGAGGAAACATTAATGGCAGGAGCCCCAAAGACGATGCGGTCTCAGCGAGACCTTGTTCCTCAGGTTCAAAACGCGAAAACGTACGTGCACGTTCGTATCCGTGCCGATGGACCGACCAAGGTACTGGAGCTGTTTGAAGGTGGTGAAGAGGACTTTGATGAAAGAGAAAACAAGTTTGAATTGACCAGTACAGCATCGGCGTCCTCAGACTCACCTACAGCTAGCGAAATTTCCGCTAACGCATTGGAATCTCTGACTTCTGGAATGGCATTGCATCTGCGTGTGGATGGAGTCGGCATCTCGTGCGTGAACGAACTTCCGATGGAGCTGGTGTATGTTTACTTAGGTGGCATTAGCTTGCACTACTCTCGTGTGAATTCCAACATGCGAATGAACATTACGCTGGACGATGTGCAGATTGACAACCAGAGTGAAGAAGCGACATTCACAAAGTTGCTGTGTCCGCGGATGGAGAATGGAGCTGCTGCGGCAGCCAACCCGACGCGGAAAAGGACGATCGGTGATATTGACGAAGATCTTGCAGAAATGGTTAACCAAGGCAGAGGCGTCGGTGGAGAGAATGGAGACGACGAGTCACTGGAGAACACGGGCTTGATCTCGAACCAGAATATCTTCAGCTGCGCGGACTGCAAGTATCGCCAAGCGAATGTGGCGGCGATGCACTTCTGCTGCACATGGTCCAATGAACAAGGCACCACGGATTATTTCAAGCACTGCTCGTTCTGGTTGTACCCTGTCATCACGCAGCTGGATGAAGAGCTGTTGGTGTCAGCTCGAGCATTTATGGCGGCGGTACGATTGGCACGAGTTGTGATATAGAAAGATGCCGAATTCTAACATTGTTTTTTTCTGCCTTTGCTTGTGCTGTACAGATGTCTCAATCGTGGGGGCAGAACCGCTCACAGAATCGTGGCGGTGAGATTCGGATGAAGAGCATTCCAATCGAGATGATGATGGAGTCTCTGGCAGAGTACAGGGAGAACACACACAGTGACGAACTGAATCCGCTCACGAGTCTGAAATCTTACACCACGACGTCATCATCGGAGACTCGCAAGGTGTACTTCGCCTTATTGCACATCCATCCAATGGACTTTGATATCACGTTCCGCAGTGATGTATTCCAGACGAGCACGACGATCAGTCTTCACGAAGCGGCCAGTTTCAAGAAGTCGGGTAGTCATGCTGACGAAATGAAGCGCTCCAGCTCGGCACCGCCTTCTTTTGGTGATAGTACTGGAGATGACTCGTCATCCGTGACCTGGGCCATTCCTAGTTTGACGATGCACGTGCCGGATCTTGATAACGCCCCCGTGCGCTTGAACGCCTTGATGATCGAGCACGCCTTTGGTACCAGCGGTGATCTGACCCGCCGAGTATCGAAGTACTACACTCGTCAGCTATGGAAGCAGCTCCACAAGATTCTGGGATCGTTTGATTTCCTTGGAAACCCAGTTGGATTCTTGGACCATATTGGTACGGGAGTGCGTGACTTCGTGTATGAACCACTGGAAGGCCTGAAGATTGGAGGTAAGGGCTTCAGTAAGGGTCTAGCCAAGGGCACAGCGAGTTTGATGACGAACACGGTCGACGGCACGTTCGATGCGGCAAGCAAAATCTCTGGCACCTTCGGACAAGGATTTGCGAACCTGAGTTTGGATGATCACTATCAGCATAACCGTGCCCGTGCTCGTCGTCGTCATGTGCGTGGTCTGCGAGAAGGACTCGTGCAAGGCTCGCGGGAGCTGAGTCTGGGTGTTTACGAGGGTGTTGCTGGACTTGTGTTGAATCCCATGCGAGGCGCTCAAGAAAGTGGAGCTGTGGGTTTTGTAAAGGGAACGATCACAGGAATTATCGGACTCCCCGTCAAGCCTGTCGCCGGTATCTTTGACTTTGCCTCCCGTGCTACACAAGGTGTGCGGAACCGTTCCTTGCAGAATGGTCAGAACATGCAGCGAGTCCGGCGGCCACGTGTGTTCGGACGTTACAATGAGCTGAAATGCTACAAGGAAGCGGATACGATTGCTTATGAGCTGCTCAAGCGAGTCGGAGGTGAGCGGCTTTCGGGCGAGAAAATTATCTTCTACAACGAAATCATGCAATCTGTGAGTGCTGCCGATCTTACGCGTGAAGCGCGAGACCGACGACGGAGTGGTAGCAATGGAGGCAGCAAGTCGAAGAGCAACGACTCAACGCGTGAGCGCACGAATTCGCTGCGTCGAGCGTTACAGGAAGACGATGAGCGCCGTCGCGCTGCTGGTGAGCCTCCAAATGCAGGTACAGGTGAGAGTAGTGGACGCAAGCTGCGCTACGAGGCTGTTTTCTATCAGAAGAAGCTGGGGATGGACCTGGAAACGGACTTCTACTGCGAGAACGTGACAATCAAGGCCATCGATGAAACATCTCGTTCCAAGGTCAAGGTTCGCGGACAAATCGCCCCTGGACAACTGGTGTTGCAGGAAGGAGACTGCCTCATTGGGGTTGGTGGTGTGGACGTGCGTGGCATCGGCTTTCATGAAACACTAGCGCTACTGCGAGGCACCGCACGGCCTATCACCGCTCAATTCGAAAGCGCTGAAGAGCTGATGCAGGAGGCACCGACACCGAAGCCCGACAACTCTGATGGTGGAGAAGTCGAGTTTGGAGCGACGAGTAGAGCGCGTCTACGTCGATTGTCTTTAGCTGGACCTGGATCCGGAAACGACGCAGTCGACGAGTCAATCAAGAAGCTAAAGGTTCAGTTGTCTCACTGGCTGATCGTCACGGAGCAGCGTGTGCTTTACATCAACGTAGGATCATATACCAAGCCTGTTGTGGAGTGGACGACGCCGCTGCGCTACATCTACCGTGTCGAGTGGCAGAAGAATACAGCTCAGATCTGTCTTCACCTCAGCGTGGGCGTCGATAGCTTGCCGATGGGTCCACGGCTGCGACCGTCTCTCAAGGCCATCGATGGCCACGAGAGGGACATGAACGTCTTCTTGGATGTCATGTGGCACAGCTTCGGCTCGGCCACTGCTGAAGAGCAGGAACTTTGGCCTTCAGACACGAGTCTAAACGGCTATCTACTGAAGAAAGGAGGGTTTTCGACAGTGCGTCGCTGGTTCGTGCTGAGTCGCAACTGTCTCTACTACTTCTCCAGTCGCAAGCAGCTCCGTGGCATCATTCCTCTAGGCCACGTACGACTCGAGACGGACGCGGGTGATGCGCGATGTCTGCGCATTACGAACGCTACTCGCTCGCAGCCGCTGGTAACACTGCAATTGGACAGTGGTCAAGTCGTGGAGCGTGTGCAAAGCGAAGTGGTGCTGGTGGCTGCCTCAACCCAGGAGCTGGAGATGTGGCAGTCGTCGTTAGCTCACGCCGCCGGCAGGGGCATGCGCCATTCACGAGGCACGCGCTTCTTCGTGCCAACTGCTGCGTCACGTCTCGAGATCGGTACACAAGAAACACCGGACTTTGTCGTAAAGCCGCTGGCTGAAGCTCTTAAGAAGACCGTCGAAGTGTTTAACACGAAGCTGCCCTAAGGTTCGACTGGCGAGTTGAAGGTGTGACATATGGTACATCTGTGATGTGATATTTCACAATAATTAGATCAATTTTGACAACAATTTCTGCAATTTCTGTTGTTTAAAAAAAAACTTATTTTGCCAGTGTGCGTGTCAATTATGTTCGAGGAGCTCCCGAAGACGCGCATCTTCTGGGTGGGCCTGACGGCCTTCCGCATGTGGAACGCGCTGTTTGTGCGCACGTCCTTCAACCCGGACGAGTACTGGCAGAGTACTGAGGTAGCGCACCGCTTGGTCTTCGGCTACGGATATCTGTGCGCCAGTCTGCAATCTCCGAATTTACTTCAGGCAGTTTATTGACGCTTTACTGCTCATTGCAGTACGTGGGAGTGGCAAGATGACGCGCAATTGCGAGGCTTCGCTCACCCGGCGCTATTTGCGGGTCTCTACAAGTTTCTGGAGCTGCTGGTACGTTGGTGAACGCGTTGAATTGGCTAGATACTTGGTGCTTCTGACGCTATGACCCAGAATTTGGACTCGCGGTGGGCGGTGACCTACGGTCCGCGGCTATTGCAGGGCCTTCTATCTGTAGCCAACGATTATTTCCTGTACAAATTGGCGTGGATTTATTTTGACGCCAAAACAGCCAAGTGGGCGCTGCTATGCCAGTTGTTCTCGTGGTTCACCTTCTACGTGATGGTGCGGCCGTTCTCCAATTGCGTCGAAACACTGTGCACGACAGCAGCGCTGGCTTACTGGCCGTGGAAGTTCTTGGTACGTTGGCGAAATTATTGCTTCAAATATTGTTTTTTGTACTGATACTTCGTGGTGTATTGTACGATAGGAGGAAGGAGCGGACAAGAAGAGCGACGGTGTCGCCTCGGTGAAGCGGAGCAATCGCACCCTGGCGCTTGCTTTCGCGGCGTTGGGTGTGCTCTTTCGACCGACGAATGCCATCATCTGGCTGTACCCTGGCATTGTGCACTTCTTGCAGACGCGTGACCGCGCATTTCTCATGCTCGGTCTTGTAGTGCCGATTGCAATCGTCACGACGCTGACTATGCTGTGTATCGACCGTCTTGGGTACGGCGAGTGGACTTATGTGCCATTTAACTTTTTCAAGTTTAACGTTCTACAGGTGGGTGCTGGGAGATGATGTCATGCTAAGTTATGGAGATTCTTCAGTTTGTAGAGCTTTTGTCTTTTTTTTAATACCGTATTTCGACTTCGTCAGGGTAAGGACAAACTGTACGGCGAACACCCATGGAGCTGGTATTTCTCGCAGGGTTATCCGGCCATTGTGGGCACCACGCTGCCTATTGCTATTGGTGGTTATCTCACTGTGCCGGTTAGTATTGCTCGCTGTAGTTGATGACAGCGTCTTCTTTTTCTAACGCTTTTTTGGGTAATTTGTTCTTCCAGCCCTCGAAGAAAGATCTGGGTCGTCTGATTATGTGGGCGCTCTTCGTGTACAGCAATGCGGCTCACAAAGGTACAGTAGAAGATTGTTTATTCGTCGCGGAACTTCTAACAACGGCGCTAACTCTTCTCGTGCAACTTAAGAGTTCCGCTTCGTTCTACCGCTGCTCCCTCCCGCATTCGTGTATGCTGGGTATTGCCTGCGTAACCTCGAGCGCAAGCTGTATGCCCAGTTTCGAGAAAGAACGCAGTGGAATTTGCTTCGACTTGCTGTATTTTCAGTCGTCGTGCCGAATGTGCTCAGTGCCTACTACCTGTCACGAATCCACCAGGTACGTTGGATGGCGACTTGGTGGCAAGTTTTGAGCCATAAGAAGCACTACATGTAATATTCTGACTTGTTATCATGTACACGTAGCGAGCCCCAGCTGAGGTAATGGACTATCTGGCAGAACGTATCCAAGGTACAATCACTTCATGCTTGTACTTCTACATGACGTGAGATCCAAGCTCTAATCTCATGTATCCGCTGCAGAAAACCCGGAGGCGTCGATCCACTTTTGGACTCCTTGCCACGCTACGCCTTACTACAGTTACCTGCATCAGAACGTCTCGATGTGGTTCCCAGACTGCTCTCCAGCGTAAGATTTCGCTTCATTCGAGACTCGCCATAGCTCTTTCTTCTAACTTTATCGCTATCGTGTTGATTCCGATCCAGTAACCGCGAGCGAACTGAAGGCTGCGAGTCCCACCAACTTGAGCGCGATCCGAGGCATTTCCTCACGAATCTCTACCATTTAAATGACGTTGTTAGCGACTCGTCATCTATGGAGCTGCCAACCTACGTCGTCACGTACTCCACCATTGCTGCCAAGATCAGACCACTTCTGCTTGGCACAGGCTTCGTCGAGGTTCGTCGGTCTTTTTCGTAGTTGCTGAAGGTCAGGAACCTGACGGGTGTGTTTTATTCCACGCATAGGCTGCCTCGTTTCAGCACAGCGACGTTAGTGGCGATGCGGATTCGTCGGAGATTGTCTCGAAGATGCTGGTGTACAAGCGCCAGTAGTGCAAGAGTCAGGGTGCGCAATCGCCCGCAATAGAACGGTTACCGAGGTAATGAAGGCTGCATGCTAAGCGCTGGCGCCGTGTAGGTCGTGGCCGAGCGCTGGCATCAGCCTTATTGAACGTGGGCAATGATCCGCTGAGTGCTGGGATGATGAGATATTGTTGAGGTTGCCACTGGAGTGTGCGTGGGTCGATGTGTTGCGGCCGATGGATAAGAGGACGAGCTGGGATTTATTTAGTTGGATTAAACACAAGCTGGGATGGCATGGCACACAGGGAACTGGACTGGCTGAGGTTGAAGCTAGTGACGTCGGTGGCATTGTGCCTGATCACGGAAGAAGACGCCAATCCATGAGCCATTTGTAAGCCAATGCAGAGGGCCAAACTAACGGCGTCGTCGGTCGTCATGGCCCCCGCGCCCGCGATCGCGGTCATCGTAGCGACCGCGTCCTCTGTCACGGTCATCGTAACGCCTGTCATCAGAGCGACGCGAGTACCCACCACGGTCTCGGCTGCGACTCTGCCGTCCTCGGTCCCGACTGCGATCTCTGCTGAAACGGTCACGACCGCTGCCGTACTTTGCGCTGGCGAGTCTCGGTCCAAGGTCTGTAGGGCAGCACACGCATCAAAAGTCAGCAACTTCCAAGCAAATTTCTCCATTCATCGCCTTGCACTCACACTGTCCGGGGGTCTTCTCGTGGCCACGCTTCCGTTTGGCGTGTTCCACTCTCATTTTCCGCCCCTGGACCTCTTGGCTACACTCGCAAGTACCATCAGTCACAGCTCACCCTTCCACGCTTACAGCAGCCCACGTACTTGTTCAGCTCCTTGACTGCATCCTCCGCGTCACGAACGTCCTCAAACGTCACGAAGCCGAAGCCCCTGCAAGCCATCATTAGCGCTAGCCTCCCTCCAGTATCAAAAAGCCACTCGCAAAACTCACCTCGACTCTTTCGTGACAGGATCCACGATCACCTCGCACTTTTCCACACGCCCAAACTTGGAGAAAAGATCCTGCAGATCCTGTTGTCCCACTCGGGTGGCCAGGTTGGCCACATACAGATTGTTGCCTGGGTTTGCAACGTCCACAGGGGCAGCAGGCGCCTTGGGGGCGGGCGAACGACTGCGACTGTGACGCGACGCCTCGCGGTCCTCGCTATCAGACACGCGCGGACTCTTCTTGTCTTCATTGTCGTCGGCTCTCGGAGATGGCGAGCGGCTGCGGCTGTGGCGCGGCGACGGTGAGCCTCGGTCCGACATGGCAGACGTTGCTGTGGCTCGGAATCTTTGGTAATACCACGAAGGGGCAGCCAAGTGTTTTCGAGCGGGTGCGGTGGGCCCATACTGGAACCTAGTGAAACACCCCGACGTGGTGCATCCGGACTCAAACAGAAAACGGACGTTTTACAGTTTTCGTCCAATTGAAGTATGTGGCCAACACGATATTGTGTGATATTTCCATTTTCACTAATTTAATGTTTTGAACGCAAATGTCACTCTTCTGCTTATTGACTGGCCATTATTGCAGCAGTGATGGCTCGAACCAAGGCGCAGGGACGCAAGGCCAAGAGCGCGGGCCGCGAGGTGTATGTTGAAGGCAAGAAGGCGGCGGCCGAGCGTAAGAAAGTCAAAGCCAAGATAAAAGCCAAAGGAAAGGCCAAACACGCCGCCAAACTCGCCAAAGAGGAGAAGAAGCGATTGGCCCGAGAGGCTCCGGACAATGACGCAGTGGATGACGGCTTCATTGAGTTCACAGCGGACGAAGAAGACCAAAGGAAACAATCAAAGAAGAAAGAGGACTCTCGGGAGGAGGAAAAGCGCGTGTTGCAGCTCGAGTCGCGGCCCTGGATGAGGCAACGCAAAGGTTATGCCAACCGCAACGTGTACGAATGTCTCCACGACGAGATCATGGACTTTGTGACGTTTATAAGCCCTACAGAGGACGAACTACGCAGCAGAGCGCAACTTGTCGAGGAAATGCGAGGAGTTGTCAAAGGTTTATGGCCCGAGGCCACCGTCGAGACCTTCGGCTCTCACTACACGCAGATGTTCCTGCCGCAGAGTGACATTGACATGGTACTCTTTGGAGTGCCAGAGGGCAAAGAGCCACTGTACAAGCTGGCTCAGTGTCTTGAGGAGAAAGATCGTGTGAGCTACCTAGAAGTGATCGATAAAGCCAGGATCCCCATCGTCAAGATGGTACACAAGGGGAGCGATATTCACGTTGATGTATCATTCAATGTGGCCGGTGGATTGGCTACTGGAGACTTGGTGAAGCATTACATGAGAGTGTACCCATCGTTCCGGCCGCTGACGCTCGTACTCAAGTATTTTATGGCGCAACGAGGACTGAACGAGACGTACTCGGGTGGAGTGGGCTCTTTCTTGCTGCAGATGATGGTGGTGAGCTTTTTGCAGCACCATGGACGCGCACTGGGTGCTGAACACGACGACCCGAAGTTCAACAACTTGGGACAATTGCTGATGGGCTTTTTCACGCTTTATGGACGCGACTTTAACTACACGGACCTCGCTGTCTCTGTGAGAAACGGTGGCTCATATTTCCCCAAGGAAAAGCGTCGTTGGTACGATGACGGACGCCCGTTCCTGATTGCGATGGAGAACCCGAACGAACCGAGTCTCGACATTGGCAAGAACTCGTACGAGATGCGAACAGTCAAGCGATCGTTTGATTACGCCCGACAGGTATTGCAGAACGAGATCTACCGTCACGGCCAGTTCAACACACTTCCCGGTAGCATTTTGGGCACGATTATTCAGCCAGACAGCAACTTGGTCAAGAGAGAGCCACCGGAGAGCTTCGGATATGACATTCTGCATCACGACCCCGTCAAGACAGCGGAGATTAGGAAACAGTACGAGATGCGTCGCGACGAGGAAGCAAGTAAGAAACGCGCAGTAGAGGCAGCGAAGAACATCCGACAGAGTGGTACTAACGAGCCGCCCTACAAGCGCTGGAGAGGACGCAATCGAGCATACTGAGCGAACGTCATAGGTTAGTCGTTGAAGTGAGCTTCATCAAAACTCAATATCCATCACCTTTGGTATCATGATATCTCTAGGCTTTTTGCAGCAACTCAGGGGAAGCAGGTCGGAACTTGATGTACTTCAGTGATGAGACTGAGTTGGGGTTCTTGGGTTTCCACTTCAGGGCATTTGCCTTCCTGTAGTTACGTTGCTCCTCTGGAGTCATGGATTCCATCTTGACATATTCTTGCTTGCAGGCTTCACTGCATGCCCCCAACATGCTCGTTGCGCACTTGGAGCACTGGAGAATCAATCCGTGGCACATCAAGTTGCTGCAGTTGGTGTGGTGGTTGCACGGGTCTCCACACTGGAAGCACTGGCCTAGTATGTCGTCAGTCACCTCCTCCGACTCCGTCAGTTCGCCAACGCATCGCTGGTCGAACACGAAATTCTTGCCCTTGAACAGAGAAATCTCCTTCTCCACAGCATCATCCGAGTGACCACGTGTCTCCACTGCAGCTTGACGTTGCTCCTTCAGAAACCGCATGTAGTTCACGATGCCACCGTGGAGCTTCTGCACGTTCGAGATGTTCTTGTACTGCGTCAGATACGCACCAACCTTCTCACAGCGAATACCTCCGGTGCAGTACATCATGACCTCCTTGGGTTTCTGTCCGTCGTGCTCCTTCTTGTGGTTCTCGAGGATCTCATCCAGTGCGTCGAACGTATCTCTGAACGTATCAACCATGATCCTTGTGGCGCCATCAAAGCGTCCGATCTCGTGCTCGTAGAAGTTGCGTACGTCCAGCACAAGTGTGTTCGAGTCGTCCGTCTCGTTCCTCTCCTTGAGCTTCTGATGCCACTGCTCAGGCAGCAAAGAGTTACCCGACTGCTGTAGATTCAGCGGTCCATCCTGGAATCCATCGTGAAGAATCTGGTCGCGAATGCGAATGTCGAGCTTGTGGAACGGCTCAGCAGGCCTTTTGTCTCCCGGTTGGTCCTCTATCAATTGGCCGTAGAAGAGCTTGGCATTCTCAAGTAGTCTAGGGAACGAGTGCTCGAAGACGTTTATCGCCGGCTCCGGCACCACCAACTGGCCGTTGATGCCTTCCTCTGCAATATAGATTCGCCCGACAACACCCAGGTCCCCCCACTGTTCGCGCATATCCCTCCGAAGCTTTGGCAACTTCTTCTCGTCTAGCGGGGTGTAGTTGTACAAGCTGATGTATTGGCGGCGAGAAATCCCGGCCTTTTCGCCAGTACTGCACGACCGACGCTGCCACAGTGAGTCATTGTGCGTGAAAGCAGCGGGAAGATGTTGACGATGTAAATCAAGCAGTGACGAGCGTCGAAGTCGCGGTAAGAGACGCACTGCGCCGCACAGGCCGCGCATCTTCCGACAACCAATCAAATATCCAAGTGGTGACGGCTTTTCATTTGGTAATTGTATTAAATGGTGCCATCATTTCGACATTTTTGGCATCGAATCGAAGAATAGCTGAAGTGAACGTGCGGCTATGCTGCTCTGTCGTCTCCGGTCGCTGCGTAGACCCATTCGACGTTGCGTGTCAACCAGATCAAACGGCAATGAAGCTAACGAGCTTCGTCAATATGTGAGTCTGTACAATTACGTGACGTTGGAGGAGAGTGAGCTACCAAAACTGCGTCGCCAACTCCTCGGAGGCTGGAAAGCGCTTGGCGCCACTGGAAGAATCTACTTGTCCCCAGAAGGAATCAACGGGCAATTAATGCTGCCTCAGAGCAACGTGTCGGCGCTGGCTGTATCGTTTCCTCGTATTTTCACAAACAAGAACATGTTTTGTGGACAATTGCTGCCAGCGTTGACGAACACTGAGAACGATCAACCATTCTCGAAGTTAACGGTCAGGATCCGAGAGCAGTTAGTGCACGATGGCTTTACGAAGGGCAGACTAAATTCCCAAGAATCGGGTAACTCTTTGCCACCCGATCGTTGGCACCAGAAGCTCAAACAGAGGAACGAGACGGACGATTCGAACACACTTGTGCTGGACGTACGCAACTTCTACGAGCACGAGATCGGACGCTTTGATGGCGCCACAAGGATCATGGTTGATACGTTCAGAGATACATTCGATGCACTTGATGAGATCCTCGAGAGCCACAAGAAGGAGCACGACGGACAGAAACCCAAGGAGGTCATGATGTACTGTACCGGAGGTATTCGCTGTGAGAAGGTTGGTGCGTATCTGACGCAGTACAAGAACATCTCGAACGTGCAGAAGCTCCACGGTGGCATCGTGAACTACATGCGGTTTCTGAAGGAGCAACGTCAAGCTGCAGTGGAGACACGTGGTCACTCGGATGATGCTGTGGAGAAGGAGATTTCTCTGTTCAAGGGCAAGAATTTCGTGTTCGACCAGCGATGCGTTGGCGACTTGACGGAGTCGGAGGAGGTGACTGACGACATACTAGGCCAGTGCTCTCAATGCGGCGAGCTTTGCAACCACCACACCAACTGCAGCAATGTCATGTGTGGAGGTTTGATCTTGCAATGCCCTCACTGTGCAGCCAATTTGTTCGGAGCTTGCAGTGAAGCTTGCAAGCAAGAATATATTAAGATGAACGCGATGACTATGAAGCAGCAAAAAGAATACCGCAAACAGCAGGCAACACGATGGATGCCACCGGTTCCGAATGCACTCTCCAAACACATCAGAAAGCGATCGCTAGCTTCACTATCAAGAAATCTACACACACGTTTTTACTTCAGTACTTCACGAGTTCTCAACAAGAGTATCGACGACACCGATCTTCAGAGCAAGTACGTCTACGATCAAAGTACTGCTCTCCGTGATGACGCATTGCTTCAAAAGCTGCGTAAAGAGACTACACAGACCTGGCCCAAGGCGGAGCAACTCATCGATGAGATGCAAGGCAAACTTCTCTCCTTCCTAGTGGAATCCACTGGGGCACAGCGTGTCCTGGAGATTGGCTGCTTCACTGGTTACTCGGCTCTATGTATCGCTAGCGGTTTGGGCCCCGACGGATCACTTGTAACCTGCGATGTCGATGCTGCGACTATGCAATTTGCGCAGAGTTTCTTTGACCAGAGCTCGCATGCCAGTCAAATCACCGCTGTGAACCAAGACGGTCTGGAATATCTGAGCTCTTTACGGGATCACGAGCAGCTCGACTTTATCTTCGTGGACGCCAACAAGCGCAAGTATCGTGCATACTACGATTTTATCCTCAAGCACAATCTGTTGCATCCGAGAGGGCTGTTAGTCTTTGACAACACCCTGTTTCGAGGTCGCGTCGCAGCCTACGCCGGCGGATTGTCAAGCAACAAGGAGCAAATCGCACGTAGCCTGGCCGAGTTCAACAGTTACGTGGCTAAAGACCCGCGAACATCGCAGGTGGTAATGCCGCTCTGGGACGGACTCACTCTGGTCCGTTTAAAGTGGTAACGGCCTGAAAATTAAAACTTCCTCACCGAAAGGAGACGTTGCATTCGATTGTGGGATAAGCGAGCAATAGATTTATATTTTACAGCGTCAATGGCTTATAGGTGTTGCCTCGTCGGATAGCCTCGCTTCATAGTGGTTGTAAGCTCTAAGGCTCTTTTAGTCGGCTTGTTCTCCTCTGCGCAAAGACCCACGTGTAAGTAGGATGGATTCGTCTCCCATTGCGAGCATGTGGCGAGCGCGGACGCTAGTTTCTTCAGCGACGCTGCTGGAGACGGTGAGCGCGAGGGTGGCGACGGCGAGACAGCGGAAGAGCTTCATTCAGAAGAAGAGCTTGATGGGTACACGGAGTGCGGTGTAGTAGGGTGATTGGGAAGTGGCAAAGATGAAAGTCTCACGTTCCCAAAATGACGTGAGTCTAGTCTATGTGCGCCCCTGCGGTTACCGGTACTGTCCTTTTTAAATAAATATTTTAAGAGAAGCCTAAAATAGCATGTCAAGATGAAAGAGCTAAATCTGTATGTCGAACTTGATACCTACCTGTAGTGGTGCCAGCGCAATCATGTCCAGAATCTGGATTCCAATGGTAGATTTTTTATGCCGCACGTCTCGACTCGGGCCACAGCGTTGCTGGACATGGCGAAACCACACGGCACAAAGCAAACCAGCCGATAACTGAGCAGAGAATCGCTATTAGGCCAATGGCATCGCTGTGAGCTTTACTGGTTGGATGCGTCTGCTCTCAATAGTGGCCCGTTGCTCTGATTGCTAAGCGTATTAATAGAGCTTTAGCAATTTAAAAAAATTGCTGCTAAAGTATTACTGTTCATGTGAAGAACTATTATTATATTAAAAAAATTAGAATAAATATATAGTAGTTTTGGAAATGCTAATAACGTTGCCCCGGAAGTATTTCACGTACTTACTTGTACTGTACTACAGTAGTACCTAAAATAACATTTTTTTAAAATGGAAAATAAAAATAACGTTAGCTGTGGTACTTAGAATGTACGAAGGCCGAATAGATTAATCCGAGCGGTAGTAAGGGCATATCATTCGCTTTTGACAAACGACGTATGGCTAGCAGTATGAAAAAGTTTTTTAACTGCATTATTACCCCCCCCCCTTCCCCAATTCTCTTCACATAGAGTGGTACAGGTAGGTGCTTTAGCTCACGTGAACCTTTTCAATGTTCAGTGTTATGTATGTTATTATTATTAACAGCCCGACGCTAGAGTGGTTAGCTCACGTGAACTAAAAAAAAACGATGCCTCGAGCTGCACGGATGTGTAAATAGATTTGTTGCGCGAATGTTGTTCTTGGCCGACTGGGTCAACATTCACCTTGCGGGATAAGGTTTCACGGCTCATAAAAGATTCCGTCAATTTACCCTGCTCCTTTGAGGTACTAACATCTTTAATATTACAAATGTACCCAAATACTCTTTTATACAGGAAATGTGAGGATATGTGATCCCGCTAGGAGCTCTGAATTTTTATATTCTGAGAACTAAAAGCTCGAACCCATTGAGGTAAACATTTGTATTTAATGCAAAAAGAGTCTCTGCTTTTTTGGATTTGCGGCGCCTTAGCCACCACGAGCGCGGTATACTAAGATCGAGTTCAGCTGGCAAGGGGCCGTCTTCGTTGTGGGTTGTGGGTTCACTATCTAATAGAGCTCACACCTGATGCAGACAGCCTTGTTTACCTGAGAAGGAAAAGAAAGAGTGAATAGACTAACTCGTTAAGCTCCCTCAAGCTCCTACAACCACGAACAGACTTCAAGTCTGTTCCCATGCAGAGACCCGTTTCTTTCCCGGTTAGTCTTACCATTGGCACGGGTCCGGACCTGATTCTTAACTGAATCTTTGCCAGGTCTGCGATATACCATCCAACACTCCTCCCTCAAATCGCAAGCTTCGATCACCAGCTTGCACTTCCTGCGGCGATGTTGCCTTCCTTATTCTCTCAAATGCCCACTAGCTGCACTTTTGAGACGTAGCTTGACTAAGGCCTTCGTAAACGCATCCGCTGGGTTCACCTCACCCTTCACCTTGTGCAACTGGACTGCTCCGTTTTGCACTTGTTCGCATACGTAATGCCACTGAAGATCAATGTGGCGAGTACGGCGGATATACGTCGGGTTGGTAGCTAACACATGAGCAGCTTGGTTATCATACCAATCTTAAGCTCAAGACTCAGATGTGGCAAGATTTCTACAGAATACTGCTCTCAGCAACTGCTTCCATTGACACCTCACATACAGTAACATACTCTGCTTCGGCTGTGGACAGAGTCACAATTGATTGGCGTCGTGACATCCACGACACAGCACCACCAGCCAGCGTGAACACGAACCAAGTTGGTATTTTGCAGGACTCCGAGTCATTTGTTGTATGTCAAGACCTGCTGAATTCGGTGGACTCAAGTAATCACTTTTCAAAACTTTGACCTTGCCCCCAGCAGCCGAGTTTCAACTAGCTTGTCTCTCAGTCCACAAGATATACTCCTTCATGTGCTGATTGACAACTTCACTCCGCTTGCTGGTCAAACATGTGCACAGTCACAAAGCGAGAAAACCCATCCATTATCACAAAAACAGCTTAAAATCGAGTTCAATTCCCTTTACTGGACATCTAATGGTCGGCGTACACGACTTGGTTTAGAATCTTCAGTCCTGTCTAAATTCTTACGAAGTCGTTTGTTCTTCTGCTTGCCAATATGGCATGCATCGCAGGTTTCTTGTTTCTGGCGCAGCGTCAACATCATACCCTTCACCATGTCCTTTAGTACCAATGTCTTTAAGTACTGTGGGCAAATATGTCCGAGACGCTCATATCAGATCCTCAGCTAAGCAACTCCCTCAACTGCAGTGAAATGTGCCCGAGGTAGATCTTGAGGACTCGCCTTTGCATATCCGCTGGATGTATGCCTCACGTGAAAGGCCCATGTCGCTACATCCGGTGTGGCCGCATTCATAGTTCTGTCGTCCTCCATCACCAAGAAGTTCTGCGTGCGGCGATCATACGCAAAGTCAAACCCTGATTCTGCGGCAACTCCCGCTGATAGCAGTCAATATTCGGCACCCGAAACTTAAAACACATCGCTCAGATACACTATGCATCGACTTCAGTCGCTAAGCCTACCGTTCCTACACCAGCAATTCGCGAAGCCAGTGCTGGCATAACTCCGTACACACTCTGTGATTGACTAATATCCTCTGTGAATGCCAAATAGTTGGCGCGATTTCCGCACACGTGCGTGTTAGCAGCAGTTTCGAAATACCACCACCCACCACTGGTGTCCTCTTGCTGCTCAGCAAATCTCTGTTTGAGCTACTTTGCTCTGAATCAGCTTCACCATCGTGTGACTGAGAACCCTCATCCCCGATCTCTGCCTCGACACCGGCGTCGACGATTATAGTATCCAACTCATCAGCCACGAATCCACGAGCTGCATCACTTAGTTCAGGAGTCGAGGATGTCTGATGAATCGTCATGTTTCCTCGCGGTTTGCTCTAGCTCAGCTCCAGCATCGATTGAAGGTTTTGCCTTTTCCGGACAATTAACTCTAAGATGCTCAGTACTCCCACAGGTGAAGTACTTTTTTGCTTAATCTTCTTTTTTGGATCTCCAGCCCACCTTTTTTGATAATTTTCTTCATTGTCCTTTGCTCCACCACCGTTTCCTCCGTGCTTTGATCCTTCGCAATGATTAAGCTCACGCTTGGTCCTATATGCCTTTTAGCGAGAATCGACAGTGTGAACCAATTCACGGGCGCGCTCTAGTAATAAGCTCCCAGCGCCAGAATTGTAGCGAATGCTGGACTTCAAACTCTCAAACTCGTACTGATTTGGCAGACTATCCAACATGATCTCTACCATGTCAATGTCTTCCACAGTTTAAAGCAACGAGGTCAATTCAGCTCGCAAGTCGAGCATCTTGCTCAAATACGCGCTCACATCTCCACATGGGGACAGCTTGCGGGGTCACCTGAGTTATCTCGAATCACCATGCGTAAGTTGTCGAAATACTTTCGCCAGGTGTTCGTAATGAAGACGTTTAGGGCCAAGTTGTTGAAGTCAGGGCAGTCATTTCACGGAGGCGAAGCGAGTATTCGCGATAGGTCTCGATGTGTTTTTTCTTTTTGCATAGTCACCATTTGCCCATCTGAGCCTTGGGCAGTTTGCCTACCAATTCACGCTTGAGGGCTCGGTCAAGGAACAATCGCGAAGATCATCGATGTTTGAGATGTACCATTGGTTAGCGGCTCCACCTAAGCTTAAAAAAGAAGACTTTTCTTCAGATTTTCGGGGGGTCGGACCTGGTATAGATCTTCATGCATAGTCAGTAGCGCTTCGAAGCGTCGGAGCCAAGTTGCAGATTCAGAGTCAAGTGTTCCTGGTTGAACGCCTCCAGTGAATTGATCGATATCAAATGTCTTGAGTACACACCCGTAATTTGGGACGTACTGGTTGCTCTCACGGCGTGTTCTCGCATTGGATCTGAAAAGTGCTGCTGTTGGGGCTGTAGCTGCTGCTCTTCTCTCGCAGCTTGGTCCTGTAAAGGTGGCTCTTGCGCTGGAGCGGGAATGCGCAGTTGCAGTGCGTTGTCCTTTTGCGCATTACGAGTCTATTGGACATTTTGCTCTTCATCCGTTCTTTGGTCGCTTAAGAGGCACTGTGGCTGTGAACCTGCTGGAACTCTGCTCGACTAAGAAGATTCAAGATTGATTGGATTTAGCTTAATCCTGTGAATAGAAGTACTGTAAGAATAATGGGGTCATCATTTGGTCTCATAACGAGTTTGTTTCAAGCTGGCTTCCCAACAATGTCATCTCGGTTGCTCTGTAGTGGATTAACAAAAAGATGAGTTGACTTGCTGTCGGGGGTACCCTAATACTGAAGCTGCAAGTCACATGACCAACCAAAACCTTGACTTTACCTCATTCACACCATTGGGTACTTCAGTGCGTGTTGATGGGAATAGTAGGCTGCCAGTGGCTGGAGTAGGAATAGTGCAAAATGAACTGTTGATGTTACAAGGAATGAAGAAAAATTTGCTTCATGATATCCGCTATGTTCCAAAGCCACAATGTAGCCTGTTCGCAGTCCGACGCCAAACTACGCAGAAAGCTAGCAAGACGCGAAAATCTCCAGTCGCACTACTGGCAAATACACTTCCAAGTAATTGATACCGTACACTTGCATGAACCCCTTTATTTCAAGCCTAGCTTTAAGGTGCTCGATGTCTTCATTCGCAAGTACTTTATACGGACGATCCACCGATCTCGCAATGCTTTCATGCGTTTCTTCCGTGGCACCAGCACCCACGTTTTGTTCTCGATCAAAGAACGGTTCTGTGTATCTGCAGCCTTCCACTGCATAATTGTGGGATCTGCTCGACTTCACTCACTGTTTTTGTGGCTCAGTAATGACACTCATGGTAAGGCAACAAAAGTCTCCCCACCATGCAAGTGCGGTTACCTTTGCCATCTCTTTTTGCATCTCCTCACGAGCTTTCTCTTAACGAGTAGATGCAAGACATATCAAGTCCTTTTGTGTTACAGGCCGTGAAGCATAGAAGGATAAGCTCGCCCACCATTCTTCTTGGTTTGGCAGCACGTCCACTCCGTGATAATGGATGGATCTCGTTGCCCTCACTTTCAGAAGCCTTTCTCTCACTAGTAACACGAACTTTAGAAGAGGCGATTAAGCGCTCTTGATTTGTGCTACTACGAGTAGCTGGAATCTCCGGTCTTGCGGTCGTCATCTCACAAGGTAAGCTGCAGTAGTTTTATCGTACGCATAATGAAGTGCAGCAGAAAGGCTATAATGGCGGGCAGGAAAAGAAACGAGGTCGAATCAAAGGTGATAACACTGACGAAAATAATCCACCCACAGAGAATTTGTGTGTTACAGACCGAGGGCATCAGGTGCCTTGGTACCAAATGCTGTGTGCGGTGATGAGAATAATCAGCACGTACAGCGCGAGTTGAGCGTACCGAATGTAACAACGGTTCCCAGCACATAAAAGGAGAGCTGTAAAAAGAAAGGCAGTGAGCGGACGTTGCAACCTGCTGCTGAAATACGGCGTCAAACTGGTATCCGTGACTAGCCGAGCGCCGCTGCTTCGCGGCGGGGGCCATGTATGCTTCTTTCTGTGTTCCGCCTCCGTTCCGCTCGCCACGGGCTCGCTGCACTACTCGCATGGTTAGTTGGTAGGCTGTAGCTGGGGTAGGCCCTTCGGCCCCACAAGATTGCATCAGGTGCCGTCTTGGGGCTTGCTGCCCTCGGCAGCAGGTATTGTTAGCCAATCAGAGCCGCCTTCGCTCTGCTCAGCAGCCACTGAGAATGCATAAAAATCTGAGCGTTTCGTGTGAAGGACGGGTGGACACCGTGCTTATGTTGATAGTTTGGAATGAAGATAAGTCATAGGTAGCTAATGAGGATATTAATGGTGCAAAGCGGCTTCCTACTCCGGTTGGACCGGTCACGTCGGTTGCGAAACTAGCATGAGTCCGGTTGATGGGATCACAGTTTTCTGGGAACGGCAGGTTTATCTCTGACCAATGTTCTGCGTATTTGGACTGCTAGCGAAAGCACTCAGTGTTACGCGCTCAGTGATTATGCAGACATGCTCGTAGACAAAATCTAGGAGTACAAACACAATTACCTATTAACCACTTTGTCATCAGCTCTCTCGTCAGTAAGGCTTCACTGGATCCGTTGCCTTGTCGAATTGAGACTGGGTGAGTGGCATGTATTCCTGGTACATAGCTCGTTGCTGTCTAGATGGTGGACCTAATAGCCAGCCCTGGCGTGTCTTGCCAGCTGAAGTCGAACTTGGTATGCTGCGTCCGTTGTGGCTGAGGTGCCGCAAACCCAGAAGTGAAGTGAAGTCAAGATACAGTCATATGGCTCATACTATAACGTTATCGACCCAACGTCAAGATTCAAACTACTTTAATACTACTAAGATCTGTTTTGCGACTGCTATAGCTGAAGTGATATTAGTACCGTATTTGAGATCTCCTACTTCAGAGTGATATCCTAATTCAGACTGCCCTCCAACCAATCACATATCGAGAATGGAACAGCGCACAAGTCTAGATCTCCTAATTCAGAGTACAAAAAACATGCTAAACTGTAACTATCTACCAGCTCATTGCAAGAAATTCGCAATGGCAAATCTACAAGTGGCTTGACCAGCGCGAGCTCATAGTGGAGAAATGCGAAATCGGCTGCGGGTCGCACTGCAATGACCCGCTGGCTACACGTTTGCGTGCCAGCCGGCTGATATTTCGTGGAGCAAGCCATTAAAAGACAAAATGCGGAAAAATTGGGTGGAGAACATGTTGAAACAACTACGCGCTTCAACTTCGACGCTTCCGTTTAAGATAAAAGCACCTACACGGCAGCAATTAATAGGTTGGACGAAGAATTCGTGGAATGCGTTGTCTCGCAAAACGGTTAGAAGCGGATTTGAGAAAGCAAAAATGGTATCCATTGAGCCTACTGAAAACTTAGAGGCTGGAACGGAGCTTTCCGACAGTGAACCTGATTGGGAGCTGCTACGACGGTTGCTGGAAGAAGTGCCCGTAGTGCGCCATGCTCTGGATACGCGTCACGGCATAGAAAACTTCGTTGTTCCCGAAGAAGAACTTGATAACGAAATTTACGTGTACAGATCTTGTGTATTTTGCAACAATGCAACTTCAAAAATATTGGGTCTGAAGTAGGAGATCTCAAATACGGTATTAGCAAGGGTAGTGGTGGGAAGTCGAATCCAGCAATCTCGCAGATTTTGCTGATCCCGCTACACCACATCGACATTAGCTCTGCTATGGTGTACCTGTACACCTCCACAGAAGTCTCGCGTCCTTGTGATTTTGACTCTCGGATGAAGACGTTCTTTAAGGGACTTCGTCACACTGAATTCGGCTCACTTTCATTTACTCAAATGTTACAAGATATTGGTAGTAGTAAAGTGCTCATTAGTATTTCTGCTAGGTCTAGCTGGTCACTCCTAATTGCAGTAGTCGTAATAGGAGAAAATATATCAAAAAAAACTCAAAAATGTTCAAAAACCAAACTTGCAGTGCTTCTTTGGCCACTCGCTGGTATAAAACTCATTCCTCGGCCAAAGCAACACCTCGTTGAAGTGCTTTCCGAGCATGCCTCGCCCGCCCAGTCCGCTTTGGGAGCACTTTAGCAAGGAGATGCCCAACAAGCGCGCCTCCTGCAATTACTGTGGCCTCAATATGTGCGGGCTCGTCATCCGTATGCGTATGCACCTGGCGCGCAAGTGCTCGAGCTGCCCAGAACTTGTCAAAGCCGAGATGTGCGCCGAGATCGGCCGCAAGCATCAGGGTACGAGATCACTTGTTTTCTTTAAGCTTTCAGAGTGCTGCTCACTAGGTTGCCTACAGCCTCCACTGAGGCCTCTGTCCAGCCAGCCAAGAAGGCGCGCACCACCACAAACAATACTCAACCCACAGACCAAGCCTCAGGCGAGGCATCAGCACCGACGTCACACACACCACTACACGAGGAAGCCCCGACGGCCCCTACGGCGGCTGTGGCCGTGCTGGATGATAAAAGCGACTTGGATGGATACGTGGCACGAGCCATCTTTGGCGCCGGCCTGCCCGTGACGACCGTGGAGCACTCAACCTTCGTCAAGATGCTTAAGCGTATGAACCCGACGTACGAACCGCCCAGTGCCTTTGTACTAGCGACGTCTGTGCTAGATCTCGAGTACTCAGAGGTGCAGATCAGGCTACGAGCTGAAGTATTGGACTCGACAGCGGTGGGTTTCGGGATTGAGTCGACGGAGGCAACCCAGAAGCGCTTGTTGATGAGCTGTGTGATCAACAAATCCACTCCGGCCGCATTTGGCGTTGAAAATGCCGGGGATATACCACACACGCAAGAAGTGCTCGTTGACAAGATCGAGAGCACCCTGATGCAGATTGGAACGGGCAGAGTGTCCGTTATTGTGACAGACACAAGTGCAAGCATGAAGCAGGCATCACAGACACTGCAAAACAAGTATCCTGCTATCACATTCCTGCCCAGTTGCGTGCATATAATGAATGTGATGATGGCCGAGATGTTAGGCTTGCCAACTATTGCCACTACGCTCGATACTTGCCAGAAGCTAGCCCGGTTCTTTGCGCAGGACGAACTCGCCCGCAATGCCTTTGCGCGTGTCTCGGAACAGACACATTCTGTGGAGGTGCCTGCACCACTTGGTGACCCAGACGATTTAAGTCCGAATGGATTACTGGAGTGCTTGTTCACTGTAGAGCGCAACCGTCACTCACTGAATATTTTGCTCGCTGAAAACGGCATGCTGAACAATTTGACCACGCAGATTAAGGAGCAGATTATCAGTCTCGACTTTTGGGATGAAATGTCGATGTTTACCGAGCTCTTTGAGCCTTTCCTCGAGTTACTGAAGATGTTTGAGACAGATTTCGCGTTGTCGTCAACGTTCTACCATCGATTTACTTTGCTGTGGGCACATCTCGATAAGTCTGGAAGCCGTGCGTCCAAATTCAAGTATGTTGTCTCGACTCACTGGCAGAATCTTCAACACCCCGCCATGTACACAGCTTACCTTCTGGATCCTCGATTTCCGCCATCGAGTCTTTCGGGTGAAGCCACGAGCGAGGCTTTGGCGTATATCAAACGAACTTCAAACGCGGAGGTCTACGGCGCCATTGTGGACGAGTTGACTCGCTTTACTGCACGAACAGGTCTGTTTGCTGACGATGCGATATGGGAATCTGCCCAGAAATGTAGTCCACTTACATGGTGGAAGGGCTTCATCGGCAGCTCGTGTCCGAATTTGCAACCAGTGGCTCTGCGTACATTGGGCTTCCCTGTATCGTCGGGTCTTTCCAAAAGCCAACGCGAGATGTTCGACAAGATTCAAGCCATGAACGCCAAGGACATGAGCGAGGAGCAGGCCAGCAAGGCTGCAGTTGTGTACTTGAACTCAAACCTGGTAGCGAGTGGGGAAGACGGAGTCGCCAGCACGGAGACACGCGTCTAAGCAGCATTTTGACACAAGAGATCAGTGACTTTTTTTTTTGGTCGCCAGGTCCTCGTACCCAAGTCTATTTCGTTATTGCTGTCGTGGTATGCATGTCGGCTACGGCATCCAGTTCGACTCTCTAATAGCGCACAAACACTCGAGGCCTCAACTCTAGACCGCACCTTTGAATTTTCTCCTCGCCTGAGCACGCCTGGTGTAGCCGTGCGCGCTGACAGCGTGGAGAGCGAAGCAAACACCCGTACACTCTGTCACGAACGAGCACGCTCGCCAGCAAATCCATGTATAAAAAATATCCAAAATGCAGAGAACACAACGACAGCCGAGTCCTCAACGTCTCCGCCATCACCAGGCCCCGGGTCACACAGCATTGTTCCAGTCAGTGGCCGTCTTGTTTCATTGTTTCTTTCAAACTCACTCGGCAAACCCAACTGACCAACCAACTCAGCAGTCGGCGAAACACCGAAAGCTGCAGCTAAAAACACCACCACCTCCAGGCGCGCCGCTACCAGACCAGGACCCAGATCAAACGCGTGCTTCCTCGCCCAATCAACCACGCACCACCACAGCCTCCCCGCCCTCCTCGCCAATGCACCACCTGTCTACTTGCTCTCGCTTTCGCTCGCGGGAGTAGCCGCCGTCGCCTTCACAGGCGCAGCAGGCGGGTCAGCCTTTACCACATCGAGGAAATTGCGGCCACCCCATGCGCCGGTTTTCGGCAAAGACTCATCCACCGTCGGAGCAGCAGCCGTCTTCGGCGAGTTCTCAGAAGTCTTGGTCGTCTTCTTGACGACCTTCTTCTCCTCCTTGGAGACAGTCTTGGTGGCCGTCTTGGCAGCAGGATGCTTCTTCTTGGGCTCAGGCGCCGGGGCCGGGGTACCATTAATCACAGCCGCAGCGTAGCCGATAACCTTCGCCGGAACTGGAGCCGACTTGGTTGATGCCGGTGCAGCCGAAGCAGCAGGCTTAACCGCCGCAGCGGCATCAGTGGAAGCAGGTGCGCTCTCCGTCTTCTGTTTGCGCTGTTCACGAGCCTCCTTGGTGTAGTCCTCACCGTACATCATGCTCTCGTAGTCAATAGAGCCCACCGAGTCACTGCGGATCGGTCGTCCCTGGCGCATAGCATCACGAGCCTGTTCAATACTGTATGTACGCTGGTTGCGCAGCAGATCAGGGTGTGCCTCAGCCGTCAGAGCCGCCGGGTGCACAGCGTAGTCCATCTTTCCCTCAGGCAACGTGCAGTCCTTGTCGTCCATGTTCTTAACAATTTCCATGATGTCTTCGTGAGCGTACTTGTACGTGATGACGTTCGACACCTCGCCCTTCTCCTGGGCTGTCGGGAGTGGAGGAAAGTTCGCCGCGTTCATCACTGGCTGACGCTCAGCGGGAGCAGCAGCAGCAGTCTTCTTTCCGTTGCTGCTGTTGTTTGCGTGCTTCTCAGCCTTTGAGCGCTTGTCCTTGCTCTTACGAGCGCTGCCAGGTCCTCTCTGTTCAAAGCTGCCGCTCTTCGCACGGCCCTCCTTCTGCTGCTGAACTCCAGCGCCGTTTGATCGGTTCTGACGTCCCTGTCCACGGCCAGCGACAGCTCCACCACGCTGGTTGTTGCCGGCATATCGGCTGTTCTCAGCTCCGTTGCTGTAGTTGTGGTGCTGACCCGCACGCGGGTTCACTGTGTTGTATTGGACGCCGTAGTTGTCGTAGTAGCCCATGTTGGGCGAGGCGTAGTAGCCACGTCCACCGTACGGGGCACCCACACTGGGAGCAATGACGTTTTCTGCGGGCTGTGTGGGGTAAAAGGACTTGAGCACGTTCTCAGATTTAAGACGGGCTTTAATCGCAGCGCCGTTGAACGTCTTGCTGCGCAGAGCCAGCAGTGTGCTCACAGCTTCGGACTCTGAGTTCATAGTGACGAACCACGTGTCACCGACGTCGCTGCGCACACTGGCGACCTTGCCGCATCCCTCAAAAATGGCCTCCACCTCCTCGGGCTTAGTTGAGGACGAGATCTCGCGCAGAATGATGGTAGTGCGCTCAGATTTGATGTTGGGCTTGATAGCGTCCTTAGACGAGTTCAGAGAGCAGACCTACGTTGTAACAACACAAATGCAGTCAGCTAAATTCCAGGAATTCGCCAGAGTTGAGGTCCGCAGCAAGTTGCAACTGGCTGCAAAGAACAAGAAGGCCAAATGACGCACCGTAGATTCCTGCACCGCCTCGACCAGCAGCGCCGTGTTGTCTGTGAGCTGCGTAATCTTGGAGAAGTTGATGATGACTTCTACCGGCACATACCTGCAACAGGAATTCAAAGAACGAAAAGAAGATGAGCTCTTGTGCTTTGTGCTTTGTGCTTTGTTGTAAGCTCTTGACAGTGCCGATGGGCGTACATTTGCGAGTTCATCTGCGAGACGAGGTAGGCGTCGTTGGCCAGGTTGGCTCGGGAAAAGTAGAATTCTACCTGGCGCTTGATGGCCTCCTTGAGCTCCGCTCCCTCTGCGCAAAAAGAAACACCGTGCAGCGAGTCAGTCACTTGTGAGGAGTCCCCTGTAGGCTCTTAAACGCTACTGCAGTACGAACCAAGAGCTTTGGTCTGCTGGGCGCTCATCGCTGTAGTCTGGCTGTGCAGTGTATGTGTGCTGGGGTCTGTCAAGCCCCCGGACGCCACTCGCGGTTGGTCTGTTCAAGTCTTGCTGAGTGACAGCAGCAGGCCCGAATCGGTACCGGTATGCGGAATGGATGGCGCCGGCGGTTTGACGTGTCAGTCACTGGTGTTTTCAACACCATATAATGTGAGAAACGTATGTTATGTAGACCACACAAGTTAAGTTTGGCTTTAAGTCGCCAATTGCATTTTGCATTACAGATTCTGTCATCTGATGCCAGAGCTATTAGCCGCGACATTTTACACTGTAAATTACAGGTTGGCCACCAGGTCGACGATCTTGGAGGCGAGTGCGACCTGGTCATTGAACGCCACGTTCCGGAACTCAGGCACGTGCACGAACAGCGCTAGGTGCTGCCAACAGCATGCCAACAACAGTTAAAACCTTACGTCAACACTTCATTGTAAAATCACCTTCGGGTGACCCTTAGCCTCTTGGCGTTTGACCCACACCAGCGACCGGTAGTATACGTAGTTGCAGATGTAGCGACCCGGATCAGTCGAAATATCGACCCGAGGGTCCACAGCCTGCAGCGTCTTCAACATGTCCTCTAGTGGTAGGCTAGTAGTAATATCGTCCGGCTCCCCAACGTGGATAATCTCGTCCTTAGCGACACTCGTCCGGAATCCGGAAGTCCGCCACGTTGTAGCCCACCTGCTCCAGCTTCAGAGCACGGGCAATGGCGCTCACGCCGAAATGCAGAAAATTGCAAGGCCGGCCACGGTCCTGCATGGTGGGCGTACCGACACGGTTTAGTTGGCATATTTTGTATCGCTAACATCAAGTAAAGCAAGGTACCTCTGCCCTAGCGTACATTTCAGCGAGCTCTTCCGCGCAACCTGTTGAGCATCAAACAATCGTTAAATACACGTTGTCGAGTGTGTGTTGCCCTTCAACTATTAGCTCACTTTGTTTGGACACTTCGAGCACGTGGGACTCAGTCACTTTGGGGTGCTCCGCCAATGTCGTAGCCAGGAACGTCGTCAGATTCTCGAGGATGTCGCCGAACTTGCCGAAGCCTGGTCACGCTTTTGCGACGGTGAGACTGCTGCGCCTGCAGTGGTGTCCGTCACATTGGTTTCAGGTGCCGCTGTGGCATCGGGCTGCGAGTTAGCGACCATCTTTGGTGCGCACCTCGAGACGAAAAACTGAGAATGACAGCGAGGATGAGTGTGGTGATACTCTTACCGCCTCGTTACTTTAATCAAGTACAAACGTGCGCTTACTTTAACCCAGTCAAAATCTCGGTGCTCGTAGAGTAATCAGATTAAGCGCAAGTATTGAAGAAATGAACGTCGTTAAGCTTAGTGAGCAGTAAATGTGTTGAAGCCTTCATTCGTACATCAACTTGTAGCTGGAGTGAGGGCTGTCTATATCATTATTCGTTGCTGGATCCACGGAGCTTGGACTCCTATCTGGCTCCTCAATCGGGTTTAAATCGGAATCGCAGTATGTGGCGTTGATGGCGTCCAGGTCGATGTACAGGCCGTCAGGTGTCAGCGTGATGTTATCTTCAAAGTGGTGATCAACTAGGATGTCGCAGGCGTGATACGCCTTTCGAGCGACCATCGTGTCACTGATAACGTCGTCCTGCCCTGTGAAAAGCACGACGAAGAAATGGTCTCCTGACAGTAATTCGCTTGTTGATAAATGATAGAGAGGCGAGCTTTCGTCGATTATATGCGTCAGAGTGTTGCACAGGTTGATAATTGGCCACACATTACGAACCTGCGTCAAACAAAAAAGACGAATTAAATGCGCGAGATAACCAAACCGATATCGGTGTTCTAACACTGCGTACCAGATGCAACTCGTGGGTCTCTCTCCGTCCAAAGTTGCGATCTAACACTATGACAGTCATTCTAAATCCCCAAGGACCAAGACGTTAGATCACATAACCAATTCAGCTAGTATCAAATGACTACTTACCTGAAAGATCCCTCGACGAGAACGCCAAACTTGCGGTTGCTGGCAGCGCGAAACATAACTGCGCGATGTGAGTGGAACGTTGTTAGCAGCAGAAAGTCGCTGTACAACAGCGTTGAAGCCTTCGGGATGGAGAATTTTGCCCACGTTATGCCTGCAGAGTAGTGATATTATCGAACTGATCAGCAAACAGCACCCGAGCACTAAAGCTCCAAGCCAACAAACCCGTTACGAGAGTGGAGACAAACAGGCCGGAAAAAATTAGAAGGAAGACGAAGAAATTGGCCACGTCACTATTTTGCCGTGGGCTCAGAGTCCCATAGCCAACCGTGGAGATTGTTTGGACACAGAAGAAGAAAAGCTCGCCATATTTGAGTCCGAAGTCGTTTTGCGTACGTTGCGTCAATGGCTCGTGAATCTGTCACATTCACAATGTCAGAGGCCAGCGCGTCATTGTCATACATTTTTCAGTAATTGGTAGCGTACCGAAATGGCAATAATCAGCGCAATTGTAGCGACCACAGCCAAGTAGCATGCAATCAGACACAGCAGCAGATTGGGCCAGGAGGCTGCCAATGCTCGCTGGTATATCCCGTTCAACAGCAATCTGCACGACCGATTCTTGACGCGAACTCTTCGCTGCAATAGACTCATGGGTTGTTCCTTCCCAAAGAACTCGTGGTCGTGATGTCGATACGAGCGGGACACATCACGTCTTTGGCGTTGGGTAGATCGAGGTGGCGTTGATGGTCTACCGCTTGCTGAATGACATTTCGATTCTGGTTCATCTTCATTATGTTGGCCACGTTTATCAAGTCTTTGTATTGCCGCTGCATTGTCGTGATTGTCGCTTATCCCGCATAGACTGCCATCAGCCATCTTGTGTGATATGATGTCTTCGGCTTGGTGGTCCCGTGAACTTGAATAGCTTGTGTTCCTAACAAGCTCGCGGTTCGATTCGTTGCAAGAAGAGGAGGAAGAGGAATCCTTATCTTGTACCGGAAAACTGGTGATGTCCATGTCGATCGCATGATCATAAGCCGAATTATTCACAAGAGGGGTGACTGCCGATATTTTGTGGAGATCTAGCTCGATGAACTTGTGATGACTGTCCCAGTCAAGCATGGGAAGAAACTTGGCACTCCACCTCATCGCTTCTCGACTATACTCGTATTTCTTGTGAACAATATCGTGAAGATTTTCGTCTAAACCAGACGCCAGAAGGATCAGGACGAAATCCGAGCGCTCAACGTCGTCCGAGGTCTGGTCGATAAAAGGGCTGGTGGTATCGATAGTGTGGATCAGCTCAATTTCCAGTCTGTTTGACGCATGCGAGAAATCAGCATCAGCACGACGCAATTAAAAGAGTGCGAACACCGTACGCGATCGAATGTACCTTAGCGAAATGATGCGTGCTATATTCAGCTTCAAGTCGTAGTAACAAAGTCTCTTCTCTCCATGCTGTCCAGTCTTCAAAGTACAAAACGAGCAGACACGCCAATTGGTAGCAAAACATGTACAGTAGATCAAATGAACTACATCGAGTAGAGTGCAATGGTTTCATACCTCAATGCGCATTAGAATCAGCTTGAAACCAACATCGATAATGTCACCCTTGCTCGCAAGGTCACGGTGAGTCTCGTTGGCAACGCGAAAGCGCATCTCTAGGCCACTCTCACCACGCGAGACGGTAAACACCTGGCGTCAATGTAGCCGGTATTAGTTGCGTCGAGACTCGATGGTCTCGAAAGTACGTTTAGCAGTAAATTTACGTTGCTGAATGCAATGGTGGGGTGGGGGCGTGCAAATTTGACAAATGCAACGCCAGTCATGAAGGAAACTAGCAGCATTGACAGGAACGACTCCATCCCACCCATCAAACGGGAGCAGGTATTCGCTGGAGAGAGGTCCCCATACCCTGTTGAAGAACAGCATTGTTTACCCCGTCGTTAAAATCTATTCGAGCTCGTTTATTCAAGCAAACTTACCACAGCTCGACAGTGTCTGAAGACTCAAATTGAAGTAGTTTCTCGCGTTTTCCGAGCTCTTTGGAAGTCTGACAGCAAAAACATGAACGTAAGGTAAGGTAGTCATAATACTACGCTGTTATCCTATCCATACCCATAACAAGCGGCGAAGAGGAGCGCAAACACGCCGACGACAGCGACATAGACCCCGATAAATACACAGAGCAACGGAATCCAGCCAATTGAGACTAAATGATACAAGCGAGCTATTAAGAACAGCACAATCCCAGAGGGGTGCGCAGTGTTATTTTCCTGTTGGGTCACGATCACAAGGTAGTGGTGTAACCTGGAAACCGAAGCTGCGTCCAGTGTTTGCATTTGATCACAGGCAGATTCGGACGAAGTAGTCGTTTTCCAGACTGAGCCGCCTCATCGTCGAGAGTTGTGCCTTGCCAAACATTGAGATCACAGATCCCGGAGCTGCTTTCATTGAAAGTACATGGGCACGGGTGTTCTGCTGAGCGCTGCTGGTGTCCAGGACTTCGGCTTGGGATGCTGTGATTCTTGGACGGCGGCATCTGGGATGCCAAAGCGATAATGCCAACGGTGTGATGTTTGTGGATCTTACAACGCTGAGCATTCATGAGAAAAACAAGAAAACAAGGAATATTAAGCTGTCAGAAAATGCAGGGTGATATTTACTCTACGACTGTTCTTGTGATAGAGTTCGTCACCATTCACGGCATGATCGTCCTGCGCAGCTTGGCTACAACAGGCACGATGTAACCCGAGATGCCCAATGTCATTGGGTAGATAGCGCTCCCAAAAACTACTGCCGCAGCATAACCGCCGAGCGCTTCGCCCACCTCTCCCATGCCTAGCGAGGCCAGGATCGGCATGACATCCACTCCTTGTTTGATGAGGGCGTACAGCGAGCAGACCACGCCAACGCCAGCCAGACGGGATCCCATCAAGTACGCAGCGCCGTAGCTGTCGACCACCTCCTTAGCAGTGTCCATGGCCTTGGTCATGAAGCCGGGACTCGAGGCTGTAGACACGGTAGAGGTGTTTGCTCGACTGCAATAGCTTACACATAACAACAGCAAACATGTGAGTGCAGAACCAGCAACTACATTGAGTAATCAGTATTCGTTGAAGACGTACTTTGGTAGAGCACCCGTCAGGTCCGACAGGCGCACTTTGGACAAGGCAGGGAAAACCTTAGCAGCGCCAGCAGCAACCGCCAAGTCCAACGGCAGACGGAAGCGACGGAAGGGGCGACTGGCAGCGAACGCCAAGGCGAATTCCGGCGAGAATTTAAGCCCCGTCAGCGAGATGATGCCATACATTGCGCCGATGCTGCCAATATCAGAGGCAAAGAGCACAGCAATGGTCTCGGCCGGATGCTTCTTAATGGATTCATTGAGTTTGTCCACCACGCGATCCAGCAGCGCCGTCTTCGGCTCGGGCTCGGTCTTGGGCTCCTTCGATTCCGGGGTGGATGTGCCCACGCCGCGAGACACAACGCCACCCATACGGAAATGCTGCTGCAAACGATTGCGGCGGTCAATGCATAAGTGCCCAATGCTGCCATGCGCGCGCTGTGTCAGCGAGCGCGATGACAAGCCGAAGGTGCACAGCATGTTGGCTTCGTGCTGGAACTTCGATTACTCAAGTTTATCCTACAGTATTCCAAACCTACAATTGTCGTATGTGACAAATGCTGGATAGGCAAAGTGAACTTTCCTTCTTTCTGATTGGCTGCACTTGCACAATAGGTGAAGAGGCTCATCATGAGCATCACCTCGACCGATACCGCAAAAGGAGTTGAACTTCATGGCGGACGCGACCTCGTTGTTCAGGCGCGCGGCCACCGATGCCAGCGCCAGCAGCCGCAGCAACGGAAGCGGCGGGCGTGGCGCCCCCACAGTCTCCCTCCCCGACGCCGAGTCTCGCCGCAATCTGTTGCATCGCACGCCCGGTGGTAGCAGTCGCTCCCAGAACGGAGACAAAGCCTCCTTCCTGAGCTCGGCGCCCATTGAGGAGTTTGTGGCCAAGTACCAGGTGATTAAAGTATCGTGGCGAGGCAAGTACGAGCGCATTCTGGCATTAGCGCCTACGCGTTTTTGCACCATCGACCCACGTGACTTCGAAGTTACCAATACCTGGTCACTCACAGCGCTAGTCAGTATCAGCCTCGACCCCTCAGACGCACAGGGGTTTGCTTTGACGCTAAAAGGTGCCAAGAAGGACGAGCAGCTCAAACTACGCTGTCGATTCCGCTCTCGACTGCTCTCGGATCTCTACAGACTCAAAGACCAGTACCAGCAACACAATGCTCGTCCCGATACGAGCTTCCGATGCTCCAAGTGGTCGAGAAAAGGGGACACAATCAACTGCACGCTGGAAGTAGGGATGGATGGGGTTACCCTTACCCAACCGGGTATTGTCCGCTCCAAGTACCTGTACACGGAGATGGAGCATTTGACGAATCTCACGGACTCGCAGGATGGCTTTGCCATTGGGTACACGGGACGGAGTAGACTCTTTTTCAGTCAGCAAAGAGCACAAATATATCATCGGATTCAGACAGCAGCTGAAGCCATTGGGTGCAAGATTCAAGCGAGGACCAATGTGACGGCGGAGAAGATTCAAGAGGAGAGAGGCTACTATGGTCTGAACAACGGTGAACCGTTCGTGCAGTTCCACGTGAGGAAACAGACACCCAAGTACAATGAACCACAAGAGCGAATTCTTTCGCTGCATGATAAGATGCTGGTGGAAGTGGATCGCGAGGATAAAGTCGTGGCGTGTTACAAATACGCGGATATCTACGTGCTAGTGCGGGAGCCGACGAGCCCAGAGCAGTTTGAGATCCAGTTTCGCAACGGCCAAATGCGGACCTACGTCGCAAAGGATCGTGATGGCGTCTTAAGCGCGATCTACGACATTTGCGTGACTTGCGAGGAGAACCCCGAATTGTTTGTCACAAATTTTGTGAATCAGCGAGGACTCCGACTGCTGCCTTTTTCGGCTGTGGAGGATACCACAGAAACACAGTCATTTTTCAACGATTCTTCCATCGCAAGTTGGTACCTACAGCGCATGGGATCCGTGGGGAAGTTTGGGAACTCCATGAAAGTCGGCGATAGAGGGTACAGTTCGCTCGAAACTATATTCAGTCGTTCTTCTCATTTGGCACTGCTAACTGGTGTATATGTTGCTTAGCTTCGTAGAAATTGTAGCTGAGTTCAACGCGAACGTCCCTGCAAGCGGGATCCCATACAACACGAAACACTCGATCATCGGGGATGCCTTACGGCCGATTTGTGCCCAGCTGTATTATGTGGCTAAAACAAAACCCGTCCCTGAGCGCTTTGCGGTGACCCTCCTTCAGGCATTGTTCCGCATCTCATCGTCCTACTACGGATTCCGTGAGATCGGTCAGGCCGGTCAGATATCGGAGACGATCACAAACCTGTTAAACAATGGCGAGGAATTCGTTGTTTTTTGGACAACGCTGCTGCTACGACGACTGACAGCTCATACGCCTTCGAGTTCAGCCGGTGAGTTGTGAAGAGCCCTTGACAATGGTGATAATTGTTTTGCCGTGCGGCTTATAATGTGCGTGATTTGTTTCCCGTAACAGGCCTCGACAAAGCTTCCGTGAAATATTGCGAGGAAGTCGAGACGCAAAACAAGAATGTGCTTCTCGCAAACACCTACTTAACCCAGTCCCTTATCACGCATTTGGAAGATATTGATGTGGATCGTGAAAGCAACAACTCAAGTCACAGACCGAGAGCTGGGCCTCTTGTCATGATGGGGTTGCTACAGACCCTGGAGGGTAGTCTTTGCTCTCGAGCTTCGACGACTGGGCCAGTGGAGTTCATGACTTTAGCAGAAGGAGTGGCGAAATACTACAGCACCATACTGAAAGTGCTGTTCCAGTCTCGCTGCGCAACCACCGTCGAGGCGTGTACGTATATGCGATGGTTAGTGTCTCCACTGTCGTAATTTTGCTCACGTTCTGTTTATTGATATTTTTTCAGGTACACTGTTGCTGAAGACTGCTCTCGAGGAATGCGACCCCGTTGTGGCTTCAAGCATCCGAGACAAAGCCCTGACAGAAGGCATCGTTCTGCGTCACTTCTATCAAGGTTTATTTGACGAGTCCTTTGATCAGAGATGCGTGAGCAGGTATTTGGTGTCTCTTTGGATGAGTCATCACGATGGATCGAAGCAGCTTTTGTCCCGGATGATCCCGTCAGGCTTTTTCCATCTGCTGAAGGAACCTCCCGGAACAGCGGCGCAGATCGAAGACTACGATCGATTGGAGCGGGAAGCAATGGAAGCTGAACGTCAAGAACGATTACTCGAGTACAACGACGATGACCGTGCTTCGTCTACAAGCGAATCTACAGCCCAAGGAGGCTCGCTGGATTGGTTCTCTGGCGGCGAAAGCGGTAGTATTGCAGACGCCGAAATCCCTCAGGAGAAGATTTCGCGAAAGAGTGTGTCCATGGGAGATGTGGGTTCACGCAGTGGGCATCAGAGCGGACTTCAGTCAGAGTACCGGCGGTTGTCAGTGTCAAACTTGCCCATTCCTGAGGTTCGCTCATCATTTTCAGGCGAACGAGCATCACTGACGCGGAATGGCACTAACGGACGGAATTCTTATGAGACGCCGATCGAAAACGAGCAGTCGAAGGCTCGATTGCTACGCAAACTGAAGAGTTCAGTCGACGGGACCTCAAAGAGCTTGCACGCAGCTAATAACTCGAGGCATGAAGCCAAGTCTCGTACCTCCAGCTCTCACGACCCGGCACCGCGTCTCCGCAAAAGAGATGTCGCTCTTAGTTTCTTAGGTGCGCTTAGTGGTAAAAAGTCGCCTTCTCAGCATGGGATCAAGTCCTCGAAGGGAAGACATCGCGCGATGTCACGCTCTGCCCGCGCACAAGAGAACTTTCGACTTCTTTTTCACATGCTCAGTCTGGACCATGAGACTGTTCATATGATCTGGAATAAGCAGACAAGAGAGGAGCTTCGGTCTGCACTGTTCGTTGAGATTAAGCATTTCACCCAGTTCCAAATCAACAGCGGAATGATGAAAGCTCGATGGAACTACGAGGATTTTGCCGTGCCTTACCCAAGTCTCGCCAATGAGGTCGTCGTTGGCGGATGCTACATCAGAGTTCTGGCGCATTTGCGGAGCAAAATGTCCTTCTTTGGAACGGTCACGGAGGAAGACAAGTTCATTATACTGACACCGGAGCAGGTTCCTGTTCGAAACCCCGCAGCGGTACTGGCGGCGCTGTATGTTCGGATGTTGAGAGAGAACATCCACGCCGAGTACAGAGACGATTTGGAAGCGTCGATCTTGTGCATTAAGAGCATGGGAGTCGTAGCAGCTGCTCATGCTGGATATGTGAATGCTGTGAACTTCGAAGAGATCGAACATCTGTGGACGCTCATGGGTGAAACTGTGCATGCTTCCATGTTGGTGAACTTCCTGCAGACCGTTCGGGCGCTATGTATGCACCCTGGAAATGCTCGTCGAGTTTTGGGCAATGAATGCAACCTGGAGCTGGCGGTTCAGCTTCTCCAACTGGCTCACTCGACTAACCGCGAAATCGGTGACATCACCGAGCCGAAGAAGCTGTGGATTCTCGAAACTGACGGAGGCGAGCAACTTGGGCCATTCAGCGTGAACGAACTGAAGCAAAAGCGAGATGAAGAGCACATTGACATGAGCTCTTACTGGGTTAAACGCCAAGATGACGCAGCTTGCGAATCAATGACGACAACGGCTAAAGTTATGGAAATTGCGCAGCTGCGGTGGGAAGTGGGCATTCTAGGCGGGTTGCACCCGCTACAGATGGCGCACGATGCAATCAGCGTTCTACTCTCGGTTGCTCACAGTAACTCACTGTTAGGAAACAATAGCACACGAGGTGATGACTCCGCTTCGCCCATTTTCCCGCCGCCTCGAGGAAAAACGACGCTGTGGAGATACGCCCGTCAAATTCTGCCTGTTTTGATCCGAAGCAACCATCCTGAACTGTGGGGAAAGGTTGCCACGCTGCTCGAGTTTTTGTACAGTGATCAGCAGCCAATTATTGAGCCTTCCGAAGAAGACGCCACAAACTGTGCTGCGTTGTTCTCTTGGGGCTTGTTCTACCTGGCGTTCGTGGGAGGAACATCCGAGTTCAAGTCTATGGCGGGGTTGCTGAAGGCTACACATAAGCAGCAGGCTGATTTCAACGGAGTGAGCGCACTAAAAAGTATTCTACCGCAAGCTATGATCAACTTGCTAGAAAAGTCATCTCCTTCTGCGTTCACGAATGTATTCTGCGAGGGAGAACAGTCACCAGAAGTGATCTGGAATGACGCTATGCGGGAGCATTTGGAGACCGTATGCCAGGCCCATTTGCAAGATTATGCTGAAGTCTTGGAGGAAGATTCGTCTCGTGATTGGCGTTTTTGCCCCATGGCACCTGTTGCGTTCAAGGAGTTGGCCGATGAAGTCTGGTGTGGAGGGGTTTATCTCGGTCAGTACTGTGAGCACGACAACTTCGATATTGCTGATCCATTGGATTTCATGGAGAATTTAACCATGGAATGGCGCGCCGAAGTGAACCGACAAAATACTTCCATGACATCCGCTCAAGCACGACAAGTCTTGGGTGTTACTGACGAGGAAGGTATGCAATCTTCTGACGCTACTCTTCGTACTGGCTTTAAGGAGAAGGCCAGAGCACTGGTTCAGTCCAGCATCTCTACGAGTGAATACACTGAGAGGTACGCACTAAGCACTGAGGGTTAGTCAACTTATCTTAACGATTTTGTTCTGTACGATGACAGGCTGGATGAACTGCGAGAGGCATACCGAATTCTTACATGCCCACGATCAACTTTATTATCCACCGGCCACGACCCTGCGAATTTGCTACTTCTGCTTCACTCTTTAGTCATCATGTGCAATCGCTACCCAGAACAGCTCGCAGATTATGAGTTTGATGCGTACGATCTGCTGCTTCCACTACTGGACTCCCACTGCACAGCAAACGGAGTCCCCTCGGAAGGCACCACTCCAGCTCAGACCCTTGAGATATCTGTTTGCGCTGCAGAGCTCGTCTACAACACGTGTGCAGTATCGGTTGCCAACGGCGAGCTACTCCTTGAGCAGGCACACTTGAACACCCTGGAAAGGGTTGTGAATTTCTGTGTTGCTTCGATGATTGGCTGTGAAGCGACTGACAGACCGGAACTGTTGGAGGTGTGCTTCTACCTGCTCCAAACAGTTACGGGGCTTTTGGCATCTCCTCGTGGAAGAGAATGGATTGCGGAGTCATCAACATTGCTGGTGGATATGGTTCACATTTTGTGGATGTGGAACAATGCCGGAAAGAAGTCCATCCTGTTGTCGAAGCTTACGCAGCAAGTTCTTGAAGGTACGCGCTAGTTCTATCCACATGTAGACCAAAGAATCGTAAATTGTAATCCCTTACTAATTTTTTTTGCGTGTAGGCATGTCGAGAATGGCACAGCTGGAGCAAAACCAGCAACGCCTTGTCAAAGCTGGCGTTTTGTGGCAACTGTTCAAGCTCTTTTCAACGTACGATGTTGAGCTGGATGACGCCATCGTCCAAACCCGATTGCAGCAGAGCATTGAGACCGAGGAAGGAGGATACGCGACCGTAGCTGTGGAGATCCAGAACCTATTAGCTATCATGGCAGTTCGTGCTCTTTGCAGACTTGGAGGATTGTTTGCTGACAGAAGCGAGCTCCAATCTCCACCCAATCCTGTGGCCGAACGGGTTGTGGACTCGCTAATGACTCCGAACCTGTCTGTGCTTCTGCTACTGAGCAGTCATCACGAATTCTTGAAGATCTTCCACGGAGAATGCGAATCCTACACGCTGTTTTGGAACAGTGAGATGCGACAAGAGCTGATGAATCTCGTATCCCCACGGGCCAGTGTCGAGCCTGCAATGACGACGAACGAACAATACGTCGACGCCATCAAATTCCGGTTCATGTACCTAGCAGATCTGCTCTATGTCGGCGGTTTGTACGTCGAAATACTCATGGGAAGTCTTCTCGTCATTGAGAAAAGCATGGTCCCTGCACCTGTCGCCGAGCTGGGACTCACTGAAACATTTTTCAAGGAGTTGTTCTCGTTTATCGACAGTGGAGAGCTTATCTATCCGGAGTTTGTGAACGAGGAGGAGAAGGTGCAGCGACTCCCACCTTATGCTGGCTGGAATATCGACGAACAGCAGCGGACAACGATGGACCGAGTCACGGCTCTGAACTGTCTGTCGATCACAACTGCAGTGGCTCCCACGCTGGTGGAAAAGAATCTGGTTGCGAACGACAGCGCCATGAAGATGGTGTTGCGTCTTCTGTTCCCACCGGACAATGAAGTTCACCAGAGCGAGGATGCCGAGAAGAGTCTTGTGCTAACCCAGCAGCTGTATGTGCCATGCCGATTGCACTGCCTAGCGACACTTCAAGTGCTGTCGATGCTCGAAGACTTTAGCACAGCTGCACTGGAGTTTGGAATCTGCGATATTCTTATCGAGTTGGTTCATATCTGCCAAGACGTGGGACCGGAAGCACTCGGGATCATCCGCAACCTTTGTGCGAATGGAGCTGCGGCCAAGTGTGTTTCAGAGATCCTTCAGTCGGGAGTCTACTTGGAGTTCATCGGATGGGTCTTGCTTGTGGAGGAAACCATCGTCGATGACGAGTTTGACGCAGCAGAACGTTTGCGTGTCCCGTCAGCGATGGTTCTCTCTGAAATGGTTCAGGACGGAGCACCACTGAACATTGAGTCCAGACGTGCACTGTGCCGCTTCTTCCCGCCTGCTATCGTTCGGACAATCGCTTCCTGTCCAGACACCATCGTGGAGTATATTATGGTAAGAAACAGTGCTCCGTCCATTATATCTCTTTGTTTAGTTTCTCACAGGTTCTTGTTGTTTCCGCTGTGCAGACGGACCACAAGACGCCGGAGCTCGTATGGAACGTTGAGTTTCGCAACCACCAAAGGAACTGCATCGTCAACTTCCTCAACATTTACTTCTCGTCGACATCGACTACCGAGACGGAGGATGGGAACTTCACGTCCGTGGTTGACTCATTTGAGATTGACTTCACTGGCCTTTACCCGGCTCCGATGGCCGGCAATGTTTACCTCACATTGTACATGGAGGACTTAACCTTTGCCCTGCACGATCCTCTGTACGTGCTCGCTAGCGTGGATAACGTATTTGATCTCGAACTGACGGGGATGGTTTACATCGTACAGGTATTTCATGACGTGTTTGTGGTCCGAGTTCGAAGTCCTCTTCAAGCAACTCGCTCACATGACGTCTGCACAACGCGCGACGATGCCTCGTGCGGACGACGAGATGATACAGCGAGATATCAACCTGATCGACCTCGTCGGGTCGTCACTAGTGTGTCTGCTTCAGGTATTGCTCGCATCCCTCTCCACGGCTGCTTTGCTCGATGGAGAACTGACGTTTTGTTCTTGTTTACTCAGTTCGAAACACCTTTACTGGAGAACGTAGCGGAGCTCCAGATCCCAGCGAAGTGCTGCGAGTATCTGAACCAAACTGTCCGTTCTCAAGCGTGCGAGCCGTGCGTGGTCAACGTTGTTCGAATCCTTCGAGTGTGTACAATGTCTCGGACATGCATTGCGTCGATGCAGTCGATGTGCTCCACGGCCTTGTCGTGCTTGATGGCGCTCCTCAACCCTGTTCGAGGAGGGCCCCTTCACTACGAGAGTGCGTTTGTGCTGGAGATCATGCGCCGAATCGTCAAGGATTATCCCGAGCACGGCGACCGAGACGCGAGCGCGGGTATCGTGTATCTTGCAAGTCGACTTGATCTGTTCGGCTTCCTCTTGAATATTCTGGAGAATCCCGACAGTCTCGGAAAGGTGAAGGAGCAGCATATCGCCCGCGCAGAAGCGATCGAGATTTTGAACATGCTGGAAAAGGTATGGATCAAAGAGGCTCCGAGCACGGGCTGTGACACTACAGTAGCTAACCTTTTGCTACTCCACTTTCTGTACAGGACCGCGTCCAAGGCAGCACAGCCCACCAGATTCTGAAGAAGCACAAGAAATGGCAGAAGAGCTACCGGCACGAAGCCACCGACGTGGTGAAGGCCATGTCAACCGAAGACCCGTTTTTGAAACTCTTGTTTCCCGAGGCAGACCGTGTGATGCGAGCGTTAGTGTAGTAGCGGCTCTGTGAGGCGAGGGAGGCAAGTGCCACCAATTTTTGCTTATATATTGTTCTGATTATGCTGTCAATTATGCCGGTGCCAAAGGTCACTCGCTGCCTGTCAATGCGATCACTAACAGTCGCCGTATCCGCCACATTTGACTTGCCACTTGTCCGTCTCGGTCTGCCAGCACTACTTACACAAGATGGCGCCCAGGGCACTGCTGCTGTGCTGGCTGATGCTACTCATCACTCTTGCGAGATCTAGCGCACAGACGAGCAAACCTTCGCTTGTTGCGTGGGCGTCGAGCACAGGCGGCGCGTTGCACATCCATTGGTACGCTGAGTTTGAGAGTCGCCTGAGCGAGCATCACTCTAAAGGTAGTGATTTATGCTGCTCGGTCACAGGAACATATCGACGACGTGGAATCCCAGTGAAGTTGAAGGCTTGTACATACTTGTGAACAACCAAGAACGAGGGACCGTCGGTCCTGATACGAGTAGCTACTACGTGTATGGACTGAGCAACAACACGGCGTACTCATACCAAGTGAAGGCCACTCTCGTCAATGGATCAGAACCACTGTATTCGGTTGTGGCAGCTGCTACTACATCGAACCGCACAGCACCAAATAGTCCAGGTATCCCTAAACAAATAGCTGTGACCGGTGGCTTTGTTCAAGTGAGCGTGAAGCCACCAGGGGATACAGGTGGCGTCGCCCTGAGCAATGTGACTGTCGTTGTTAGCGACAGCGTTGGCTTTACCACAAAGCAGACTCTTGCCGTCTCCAGCGTAGACGAGCTTGTCTTCAACATCTACGGCTTGAGCGCTCGAACTAAATACTGGATTTCGGCCTTTGCTACCAATGAAGGTGGTTTGTTGTCACCAGACAGTGACCCTTTAGTGGTCACAACGGCATCGCTACAGCTTCCTGGTTCATGCCCTCCACCCACACTGGTAAACGCAACCGGTGCGATCCTACTTGCATTGTGTCGTGAGTGATATTGTCGTAACGCTTAGGCCTTCTTGCCCATCCAGGCGCCTCCATTCTCCTGCAGCTGACCCCCCCACTCGATGACGGTATTTCCTAGCTGGTGCGCCGAAGGGTTTAATGCAAATTTCATTCCGCTAACACTTTCTATTTCTTTGTATTTAGGTGGAAGTCGTATTCAAGGCTACAACGTGTACATGGCTACAGATGATGCTGGTGTCTTCCTTGAAGTCGCCACGACGATTGGGAGCGACACAGTCGATGCAGTGGAAATTTTGCATTCTTCCGACTCGGACGATGAGCCACTTCTCTCGAACACCCAGTACTTTTTCAAGGCAGTGGCAGTTAACCTTATGGACATTTGCGTCTCCGTGCCCATCAGTCTGCAGCTGACGAATACGACGGAAGCTTGGACTACTGCAGCTTCTGTTCCTGGAGCACCACCGAGTCCATATTTCCTGAGGGCTACTGGTGGCATGATCTCGATGCTGATATTGAGGCCTGCGAATATGCAGGGTGCCAACTGTACCGGGTTTAAGATAAAGATCGGTGATACCACGGGACATCACATTGATAGCAGCATTGATGCTGACGACGACGTGACCTTTAACGCTACATCTCTGCAAGCAAACTCGAGCTACAAGGTTTCTGTTGCGGTTATTACGAACTTGGGAATCTCTTCGTTTAGTAGCCCAAGTATAATGAGTACGACAACCTCCACAGCCCCGTCAACACCTCGTGATGTCTCTGTAGCGAATGTAACTGGAAACAGTGCACTTCTGGAATGGTCGTCGCCTTTTGATAGCGGAGACGCCGATATAACAGGTAGTTAGGACGGTGAGATTGTCAAACCTTGCTTTGAATACTCACTATCTACTTCGTGTTGTCAACAGGTTATACGATCATTTTGACGTCACCTGGACGGGAGGAGCAGATATCGGCCCTATCGTCTCCCATTCTGCTGGAAAACTTGGCTGCCAAAACAGTGTACACTGTAAAGATGATTGCCACAAATGCAGCAGGGAAGAAAAGCACCCGCACCGTCGGTGGATCTTTCAACACTCTGTCACTGACACCTCCAGGCAAGCCACTGGATATTTCGTTGGTCTTCGCCAGTGGTGGAGCTATTGAGATTGCGTGGAATCCATCCCAGAATCGCGGAGGTGAATTATTGGCGTCGATGGAGTACAAAGCCACTGCATTCCGTGCTACTTCTTGCTTTGGCAGCAGCACCTCGAGTCCGTGTTCAGCTTGCAACTCCTTGAAGCTAAAAGACAGCCTGTATCAGCTGATCGAGGACGCGTCGGTCTGCGAACAACCTACAACACAATGCTCGGATAGTGCATTCAACTGCTGTCTTACGCGCAAGAGCAGCAGTCATGGCTTTGGCCTTTCGTGTGGACTGATGACACCTGTATCGGAACCACGAGTGGTGGTGGGCACAACTTCAGCAATTTTTAATGGGTTGAATTACTCGTCAACCTACTATTTCAGTGTACAAGCAAGCAATCGTGCTGGAAAGAGCACGATCTCCGAACTCCAGGGAGTCCAGACAACGTGAGCTTTCCACAATCTCTTCGTCTAACGTGTACTCACAGACTTTGACCACAATTTATTCACAGGGTTCAATCGCCCCCATCATTCCCTTCAAGTCTACGTCAACTCGAAGCGACTGGTGGATCGATTCAGCTCACATGGGACCCCCCATTGGTACGTTTATCCCCCCACTTACCTTGGTGCACAGATGTAACCCCATGTGTTGCTGCAGGATACTGGAGGAGGTCCGATTGTCGGGTATCGCGTATATCGAAACTACGAACTAATAACACCCATAAACGTCATGCCTCCTTACTTTGACTGCGGTGGAATGGTAGCGGAAACGGCCTATGTGTATGGCGTTGCTGCTGTAAATGCGTCATTGGTCGAAGGTACTACGGCTACAATAAAGCTTTCAACAGAAGCTCTGTCAGCTCCATCGGCACCATCGCTGTCTCTCATTGGAAGCATGCACAATCGATTGAAAGTGAACGTGATTCCACCTTGCGACACGGGTGGAGAGACTTTGTTGAGCTACCACTACATGGTGAAGAGTGCCGGAGTTGTCATTGATTCAGGCCGTTTTGCTTGCTGTAGTCTCGTCGTTGCGAACCTGCAACCAGATCAATCATACTCTGTTCTTGTCAAAGTGGAGAATTCCCTGCCAGCGTCATCTGCCTGGGCTCAAGCAGTGTACAAGACATCGACCGGTATTCCACCACCCCCTACTGCTATGTTGCAGCAAGTGAACACGTATAGCGCAGTGGTAGCACTTGGTTCACAACTTTACGACAAGGAAACACGTTTTTACGACATATCTCTTCGCCGAAATGGCGTTGAACTCCAGATTAATGCTGTACCATGCGAAGAAAACGCTAGCCTGGACCTTTACGTGTGTCCGAGTTCATACAACTTGGAGATGTTAGAGGCTACGACGGAGTACGACATCAGAGTTCAGGCCAATGGCCCGCTTGGATCAAGCGAATCCAACCCTGTTTCTTTCACAACTAATGAAGTCTCGCCCGGTCAGTTTGTTTCTATGGTGGTTTAGACATGGAGACTAATGATTTCTTACTCACGCTTTCGATATGATTTTTCAGGTACATTTGGTATGGCAAACACCGACTACAACGCAGATAAAGACGGGCTCATCACTACAACGGTATTTCGAAGCAACGGGACGTCTGGGGCCGTTGAAGTGGGCGTACATGTGACAGACCCAGCCACGGTTCTACTGCGATGCAGGCGTACAATAAGCAGAGATTGCGAGTGCACTTTGTACCTGAGCTCGTCGGAAGTTGTACCACAGCCTTGCTACTTGTCGTTTGCCGATGGACAAGAAAATTGAAGCGTAACATTCTCGATGTTGGATGATCAATCGGCAGAGCTTCTTCCTTCTCAAGTTGTAGTGTCCCCGTTTGGAGTTGACTTGTCTGGGCAACATTCGGCTATCTTACATATGGATGCTCAGCAAGAAGCTGGGTTTATGTCATTTCTTGTGAGCCCCTCTAACGTCTACGAGGATGCTGGTTATGCCTTGATTAATATGGTGCGTCTCAATGGTAGTATGGGGAGAATTGGATTTAGCTTTGAATCGTTCGACATTTCCGCAGTTGCAGGGGAAGATTACATTGCTGTAAGTGGCACTAAGATACTCGCAGACCAACAGAGCAGCTCTCAGATCTGGATTCAGCTGATCGACAACCACGTTGTCAACTCGAATAAAACATTTGGTCTTCGTTTGACTGATCAGCCCGAATTAAACGATGGCCATCATCTTCGGACTCATAAAGTGACGATACAGGATGACGAGAGTGTCCTGAACGCTGTACCCAGTAAGATTGATAGCATCTCTATTGTTTATGCAACTGGAGGAGAATTTGAGATTGGATGGGGGAGCACTGCTTCTGATGGCGTTAGTGTTATGGGGTACTTGGTTCGCGTCTCGAATGCCAGCCTGGGAACGTTTTATAGTGTTTTCAACACGACTCAACCGGATTTTACGCTGTCTGGGCTCTCTGCTCGAAGTGTGTATCTCGCCGAAGTTGCAGCGTGGAATGATTTTGGTGTGGGCGAGTACTCCGATAGTGTGCAAGTAGCTACAACAAATGCTACTCTTCCAAGCGCTCCGCTTTCATTAACATTGACAGATATTTCCAACACTGAAGTTACGTTGATGTGGAGATCTCCTCAGGATGAAGGCGGAAGTCCAGCTGTGGGATATTATCTATCTGTCGAGGACATCGAGGGGAATCTAGTGCGGTCGGAGTCGATTAGTACCGCCAAGTTGCTTGTGATTGTGGGCAGTTTAAATGCTTCCAGCGACTACGATTGCTACGTTTCCTGCCATACTGAGGCCTTTCTGGATAACGTGGAAGCAACATCGACAGCGCATTTACGCATTAGAACTGCAGTTGGCCTTGCTCCGAGTGCCCCTCCAGCTGTGACTCTCGTAGGACAGCCACGCGGAGGAGCTCTTGAGTTTTTAATGACGCGATCTGGTGATAGAGGCGGAGTGCCGTTATCACATTGTGCGCTTTATCTCCGTGAGGCTATTGATACGGGCGCAAGTACGGAGGAAGCATTTTCGGTCGCGTGCTCAATTGATTTATCCGAATTTGGTGACGAGGATCCTACGTGTATTAGCAGTAATTTCACGGCGAGTACAAGCTACGAAGTGTATGCAGTATTCTCCAACGCTTTGGTGCGCCTCATATCGATCACTGCTTAAAGATCTTGCCGCTAACTGCTTACTTTTGTCCATTTCTAGGGAGACAGTTTACCAGGCGAGCGCTCAGTTTTCAAGACCAATGCTGCCATTGACTTGCCATCACCACCTCTAAACTTGCGCGCTCCTACAAGAACAGCTGGCAATATTGTGCTTGAATGGGGCACACCTGCTGATCTGGGCGGCGCTTCTGGCGTGGCTGGGTATATCGTTTACCAAAAATACGACGTTTTGAAAGACGAATCTTTCACTCTTTATGACGGCCAGGATTCCACACAGAAAAGCTTCGTAGCTAGAGACCTGACGAGAAATTCGACGTACGCTTTTGCTGTTGTCGCACTTAATGACGCCAGCTTTTGTGCTGATCCTGATCAGTACAACATCAGCTCTTTTTTGGAAGTCTCAACCCTCATCTCCAGCCCGCTGGCAGCTCCGGGGCAGCTTTATCGTATTTCCGCTACTGGAGGCGCAATAACAATCGGATGGAGTGTTCCTGACGACCTAGCTGGACTGGAATTGCAAGGATACTACGTCGAACTGATTACAAGTAGTTCTAGTGGTTTTGAAGTGCTCAGTACTATTCCGACTGCTATGACGAATTTTACTCATTATGGACTTTCCGAAAGCACAAGTTACAGTTACGCTGTTACAGCTACAAACCAAGAAGGATCCAGCGAGAGAAGCGGAATTCTTACGACGTCAACGTCAATTGCTTCGAGACCGACTTGGGTACAAAACTTTCGTTCTGTGGACAATTCTGGTTGCAGTATCACTCTAACGTGGGACCCACCTCTGGATACTGGAGGACGATCAATCGAGCATTATGAAATCATTCGTACTGGCCGTGCTAGTAGCTACATTGCAGCCAGCACCATGTTTCAAGACCGTTCTGGTTTGACTGCATCGAGTGCCTACACATACACAATAACCGCGTTCAACGGATTAGTGAGTGGTTATGCGGTCTCTGTACATGCTGAAACGGGATTGCCTGTGGCTTCAGACCCTCCGGTTTTTGACAGTGTTGTTCCTTTTGGCGGACGACTTGAAGTATCGTGGAAGGCGCCTGTGTTCACAGGTGGAATTCCGATTAATGAGTTCGTGGTTACCCTGCTCAATGCAGATCAGTCGGCTACAATTCAGAACATAACTACCAAGGCATCATCCAGCACCTTTCGAAATCTCACGGCACATACAGCTTACGTATTGTCAGGACAGGCACTGAACGATCAAGGTGCAAGCCTTGTTGTAAAGTTTAACGTTGAGACAACATCCCCTGACTTTCCAGACGCTCCACCGATTCCCGAAGCTAGCAACATTCGAGGTGGAAGCTTCGACATTCACGTTGCAAAGCCAACCTATACAGGTGGAGAGAATGTTACGTTAATTGTGTATCGAGATGGCACACGCGTGCAATCTTTTCTCGAGAACGAGTGGGATGTGACGATCTACGGCTTAACAGCGGAAACCGACTACGTGTTCAGAGTTTCTGCAAAGAACTCAGTCGGTGAAAACAAAAGCCAAACTTTACGAGTCACTACAGCCGCGATTTCCACGCCGAGCCAAGTTCAAAACCTGCAGAAAGTGTCTGCCACATTCAGCCAGATGACGTTGATGTGGGATGCAGCTGAGGATACGGGTGGCGACGCGCATATTCAGTACGAAGTGAAATTCTTCAAATGTAGCAGCGCAGGTGTGCTAGAGGAAGATCCGCAGATGAAGAGGACCGATTCTACTCGAATTTTGATCGAAGACTTGCAGTATTCGTCCTTCTACAACGTTACTGTGACGGCAATAACGAGCACTTCTCTTGTTGGAGACGTCAGTTCATCGCTGCTAGTTGCAACAGAGCAGCCTTTCGAAGGCGTGGTCGTCGCTGCATCTTTAGAGAAGGCCGTAAAAGAGAACGCGGGGATTGTGTCTGTACCGATCAGTCGCGTGAATGGGTCGTTCGGTAATGTTTCATATTCGTTCGACGTTGTTGATGGGTTAGCATTGGATGGAGTAAACTACGTTCGCGCGACTGGAACGAGAACGTTGACGGCGAATGTGGTGTCGGATTCTGTCGATATTGCGGTCGTCAGCGACACCGCGTACAACCCTGACATTACATTTCAGGTTATCATCACAGACTCAAACACGGGGCTACAAAGTTCTACCGATGTTCACTTGGAAGATGATGGCGACGCTGGGCTCATTTCGTTTGCTGCCCCAGCGCTGATGGTGCTGGAGAATAGCGGGACTGCTTACGTCACGATTACTCGCACAGGAGGACGTCGACCACGAGCTGTTATCGAGCC